TAGTCTCTAGGTAGATACTCCTCCAGGACAGACTCCAGACTAGGTTAGTCTCTAGTAGATATCCTCCAGTACAGACTCCAGACTAGGTTAGTCTCTAGGTAGATACTCTATCTTTGCTCCAGTACAGACTCCAGACTAGGTTAGTCTCTAGGTAGATATCCTCCAGTACAGACTCCAGACTAGGTTAGTCTCTAGGTAGATACTCCTCCAGTACAGACTCCAGACTAGGTTAGTCTCTAGGTGTGTGAGTAGATACTCCTCCAGTACAGACTCCAGACTAGGTTAGTCTCTAGGTAGATACTCCTCCAGTACAGACTCCAGACTAGGTTAGTCTCTAGGTAGATACTCCTCCAGTACAGACTCCAGACTAGGTTAGTCTCTAGATAGATACTCCTCCAGTACAGACTCCAGACTAGGTTAGTCTCTAGGTAGATACTCCTCCAGTACAGACTCCAGACTAGGTTAGTCTCTAGGTAGATACTCCTCCAGTACAGACTCCAGACTAGGTTAGTCTCTAGGTAGATACACCTCCAGTACAGACTCCAGACTAGGTGAATGAGTGCGGGAGCGTAGGGGAAACAATAAACTCGAGCTGTACCCACGGCCAATGGAAAACAAGAGAAAATGGCGCCAAAAATAGCATTGTTTTTCTGCCACTTACAGTAGAGGCAGTAACAGTATGGAGAGAGGTAGTCCAGGTATAGTCTGTAGTAGAATCCTCAGAGACAGAAAGGATGAAACGTTGGCAGAAACACTGAGGATGATGATGAAGATTATCTCCTCTTCTTCAGCTGTTCAGCAGTAGCAGGCAATGTCCTCTAGTGATGCCTCACACACACACCGCCGCGGACACACACACACACACACACTGCAGCGTTTGGGACCAATAGGCATTAGATGTTCTCTCACTCTCACACACACACGGTTAGACAAAGCTCACTCACTGGTCCTTTCGATAGTACTGTGTAGCAAATACACAGAGAGATGCTGCTAGGGATGGAGGGAGGAAGGGAGAAGGAGGAGGGAGGAGGGAGGAGGGAGGAGGGGGAGGAGTGTGCGCAGAGCGGCAAGTGGGCGGGATCTGAGAATAATCTCTCTCTCTCGTTAGCTCTCTCTCTCTGCCTTTCACTCCCTCGCTTTCTCGCTTGCTCTCGCTCTCTCTCCACTTCTCTCCCAGGGTGAAGATGTGAGGGGGAGGATGGATGGATGGAGGGAGGAAAAAGAGAAGGTGGGAGGATGCAGATGGTTCATACCGAGGTTACAGCTGATGGGAGAGCAGAGATAAAGGAGAGAAGAAAATGTGGATCCTTGAAAGCAGGAGGCCCCATCACTCACTCACTCAGTCCCTCCCTCCCTCCCCCTCTCTCTCTCTCCCTCCCTCCCTCCGTGGCAGGTGCTGTGTTAAGTCTATTCACTGGGAGGGTGGCATCTGTGAAAGGATGCCTTTGTCACACACACACACACACACACACACGAGAGAGAGCGCAAGTGAGAGGGAGATACACATGTGCTTACACACACACACACACACACACACGCCTCAGAATATTGATGAGTGACACTGTCCTATAGTGTGGCTGTATAGGCAGCCTGTGGATGGCTGTCCATCTCCATCATTCAGTTTCTCTTTTCACTCTCTGGAGAATCAGCATGGAATACACACCCCAGAGGATAGGGATGTTGACGCATAGAAACGCAATGGACCATAGAGATGGCTGGGATTCAATGCGACTGACATTCTGTTGTGGGTTTATGAATTGAATTCATGCTAATAGATATAATAGATAGTGATGTCCCAACCTATAAAACGTTTTGATGAAATTGGGAGCGTACGCTAATCAATAAGGACAAGATACGCATTGGAGCACATTGGAGGGTGTGGTACCGAATGGGGCATATGATCAAAGGTGAGTCAGGGGGTGTCAGTCACGTGATGGCACTCCTTCCTCTTCCCCTGTTATGATATGGGGGGGAAGGTTAGTGTTAGGACATTGATCAGATGCACTCTCCAGGATACACTTCCACACTCCACCCCCAGGGGGCAGCAACCAGGTCTAGTTGCTGAGCCAAGGCTTGATAAGCACATCAGCTGCTGCCAATGAAGGTGATGTCACAGTGGCAGCTTGGGGAGCCTGCTGGTTTTGTTGAGGCCTTTCATTCGTTTTATGAGTCGTTCGTTTGGGAATGTCTTTAGTATTTTCCTTTTGTACATAGTTATGTTTTTTCACCATCTGAACAAATAATAATCTGCTTGGACTGGCCGACCCAGAGGTCAAGAGAGACAGAGCTGGCCCTGGACCAAGGTAAGGTTGCTGTCTCCCTGGACCAAGGTAAAGTTGCTGTCTCCCTGGACCACGGTAAGGTTGATGTCTCCCTGGACCAAGGTAAGGTTGCTGTCTCCCTGGACCACGGTAAGGTTGCTGTCTCCCTGGACCAAGGTAAGTTTGCTGTCTCCCTGGACCAAGGTAAGGTTGCTGTCTCCCTGGACCAAGGTAAGGTTGCTATCTCCCTGGACCAAGGTAAGGTTGCTGTCTCCCTGGACATATACATTCAACACCTAGACGCATATGCTGATTTCTCACAAATACACACATTCATTCAGGTTACTAGGCCTAAGACCCCTAGCAAGTGCAACAATATTAGTAGGCTAGTTATTGGGTTCGTAACACCCCTCTCCCCTCATCCCTCCCTCTCCATCTCTCCACTCCACATCCCTCTCTCCTCTCCCCAGAGGCAGCCGTGGTTTACAGGGACAACGTCACTCCAGAGAGAAATCTGTGTGTATGTGTGTGAGAGACAGAGAGAAATCTGTGTGTGAGAGAGAGAAATGTATCTGTGTGTGAGTGAGACAGAGAGAGATGGAGACAGAGACAGGGAGAGAGAGATGGAGATGGAGAGAGAGAGAGAGAGACGGAGCGAGAGAGACGTAAATTGGGTATGGCCATACCCTAGCTCAACACCAACAATTTAAAATAGGGTACTAAAATCATTCCAATTCCCTTTTAAAAGGCTAATTCAGTTTAGTGGTATTAGTGGTCTCAGGGCCGCCGGAAAATGTGTGGCAAGGCGGCATTTAGTTTTCAATCAGGTGTGGCAGCGCATCTTTTGATTTATACTGAACAAAAATACAAACGCAACAATTTAAAGATTTTACTGAGTTACAGTTCATATAAGGAAATATGTCAATTTAAATAAATAAATTAGGCCCTAATCTATGGATTTCACATGACTGGGCAGGGGCGCAGCCATGGGTGGGCCTGGGAGGGCATAGGCCCACCCACTTGGGAGCCAGGCCCACCCACTGGGGAGCCAAGCCCAGCCAATCATAATGAGTTTTTCCCCACAAGAGGGCTTTATTACAGACAGAAATACTCCTCAGTTTCATCAGCTGTCCGGGTGGCTGGTCTCAGACTATCCCACAGGTGAATGACTAAAATGTAAATGTGAATGAAGAAGCCGGATGTGGAGGTCCTTGGCTTGCGTGGTTACACATGGTCTGCGGTTTTTAGTCTGGTTGGACGTACTGAGAAATTCTCTAAAACGACGTTGGAGGAGGTTTAAGGTAGAGAAATGAACATAAAACTATCTGGCAACAGCTCTGGTGGACATTCTTGCAGTCAGCATGCCAATTACACGCTCCCTCAAAACTTGAGACATCTGTGGCATTGTGTTGTGGGACAAAACTGCACATTTTAGTGGCCTTTTATTGTTCCCAGGACAAGGTGCACCTGTGTAATGATCATGCTGTTTAATCAGCTTCTTGATATGCCACACCTGTCAGGTGGATGCTTTATCTTGGCAAAGGAGAAATACTCACTAACAAGGATGTAAACAAATTTGTGCACAAAATTTGAGGGAAATAAACGTTTTGTGCATACGTACATTTTCTGGGATCTTTTATTTCAGCTCATGAAACATGGGACCAACACTTTACATGTTGCATTTATATTTTTGCTTTAAGTATAGTTTAATAAAATATATTGACGCACAGCATTTTTTACAGAATAGCCTCATGATTTCTGAACTTGCGCACAATTTCTCTGTCCTTCATATCATTACTCCCGACAGACACAAGCCAAAACTCTTCCATAAATATAGCAGCCTATATACTAAACATTAGAGATCTGACATGCTGTATTCCATGGAAACAAGACTATTTTTCAGTCTGATCAACTGTAGGCTACTGACAACAGCAGCTGCATAGACTAGCCTACTATACATCCTGTCCCTCTGGCCAGGGTAAACAAGCGGTATTAAAACGTTGTGTATTTATAGCCCATTTGTTTGTGAGAAAAGGTGAATGGGATCAAATTTGGTTTATATTCAAACTTGGGCTGACTAGGCTACCTCGACTTTTTGTAATCCAACATTATTAAATGGAATGAATCAATAAAGACAATAGCTGACAGACTGTGATTTTAATTAGGCCTACAGTTGCATAGGGCTGGACTACATGATACAAACCTGCATAAAGCAAGCTCAGCCCTGTGAGTTTGATTGTCCAACCATGTTGCTTTCTCTGTGTCTGTGTATAGGAAACCCCCAAAGTCCTGCTTTAAAATATAATTCATATGAACAAGTACAAGGTTGCTGCAGTTTGACAGGGTTTTCATCCTCCCCATGGCCAGGAGTTTTCCAGGAGTGTTTTAAAACCATGTGACCTGATTAGAAATGTTTTTACAACAGATTAATCCCGTCATACTGTAAAAGGTCCAGAGATTTACCTGGTTAGGTTACCAGATCAGGGAAAACGATGTACCACATCACTCTGGGACCTGTGGTGCCACCTCTGAGCGGTCTGACTTTAGGACCATACGGACGCCTGGGAGCAGGAGGGAAGGCAGTAAATAACTCCTTGTCACCATACCCTAGGGTTTGCTGAAATGACAACCCTGCATTGCATGGTCCTGAATCCAACAATGTGACAGAACTAACAAAAACACTATTTTAGTTTGACAAATGAGAGGTCAAAAATTAACCCTTGAAGAATCTCCAAGTGGTCACTTCATGTAAGAGCCCCACTTGAGAACGGTGTCCTGAGCTGCAAGCCAAGACAACTCAAGTACATATAAAGCACAACTCAGCCCTGAAGTATAAATAGTCCCATAGCAGAGCTGCACTGATCCAATATCTAAACTTAGGCAGCGGGCAACAAAATGAATAAAGTCTGTCTTATAAAAGAAAACTGAAAACAGGCATCTTGCCAGACAGCTTCAACAGCCATTGTAACCGCTGGCCTGTAAAGCCATTGTTTTGTGTGTGTGTGTGTGTGTGTGTGTGTGTGTGTGTGTGTGTGTGTGTGTGTGTGTGTGTGTGTGTGTGTGTATACTGTTTATGTGTGCAATACTGTGTGTGTGTGTGTGGTGGTACGCCGGCGGGGGTGACAGCATGTCTGTGACTGGTGGCTCCCCACAAACCCCCAGTGGGAGTTCCTGACGCGACCGCAGCAGAGAGGCAGCCAGGCGCCGTGGCCTAGCCCAATCAAGACCAGCCCAGGCTGAGGGAAAGGACTAACCACAGACCCAGGCTTCGCCAGGCCTCCAGGAACACATCCACTCTTCACAAAGCCTTCGGTGAGATGGCCTAAATATGTTAACTGAAAACACTGCACTTTCTGCTTTTAAAAGACTGATTTGGGATCAGCAATCGCAAACCCAAATCTAACCTTAACCATTATGAGCTGAGCAACAAAAACTAATCTGAGACCTGTTGATAGGAGCACATTGGGACCACATGTCCTTACTATAGTAGTGGCAGCGTTGCCAACTGCCAACAAGAGAGATTGCAGGACGAATGGCCCTAGTGTCAACACATTACATTGGGCTCAACAAACTACTGGCCTATTCTTCTCCACATGGTGCCAGTTTAACATGCCAGTTGAAAACAGATGGGCATCGTAACGTTAGAGCACACATGTCCACAACAATGCACAGTCGATGGTGAGAGAAGTATTTGAAGCGACGCCAGGGCAGTGTCAACGTGGCCGTCCGTCATCTGTGACGAGCCTAGATCCAACAGTGCTGGCTACCATGCATGCGCACAGGGTCTGTGTGTGACAGAGGAGACAGTTTCGCCTAGTTTCCCTCCAAGTGATTTCCATCAGTCCCCTGTATCCCTTTAATTACAGGAAGAGTTCGGGACGCCATTCTTTGTGTGTTTGTTTACCCTCGACACGAGCCTGTGAGCTCCGAGCTAGTCAGCCAGAACGCACAACCCAAACGCTCCTAATGATCGACACACACATGGGAATGCTTCCCAAATCGCTAACACGTTTTTACATTCTTCTATTTATAACTGTCTTCCTCGTATCTCCCCAATTAGGCTACAGACATCCATAACTGTGTTTTAAATAGAAAACCTTTGAACTAAACACAGTGACTTAAAACTTCAGTTAAATGAAATGAGGGTAATAGTTATAGAAACCGTTAGTTCATAGTTATAGAAACTGTTTCGGCTTATACTGTATATTGAGCTAGAATTATTCAGTCACCCATCTGTGATATAACAACAGTGCAACTTTGACAACATTTGTCAAGGGAAATGCACTAATACGATGTGCAAGTGAGATCATCCTACGTCATACTTCCTGTTCCTGTCCCCTAATCTTTTGAATGGGCTAGCTTGACAATTATGTCATAACATTTGTGAAAACTAGGTAATTTAAGATATATGCAGTGCCTTCGGAAAGTATTCAGACCCCTTGACTTTTTTTCAAATTTTGTTATATTACAGCCTTATTCTAAAATTGATTAAATAGTTTTTTTCCTCATCAATCTACACACAATACCCCATAATGACAAAGCAAAAACAGGTTTTTAGACATCTTTGCTAATTTATTTAAATAACAAAAAACTGAAATATCACATTTACATAAGTATTCAGACCCTTTACCCAATACTTTGTTAAAGCACCTTTGGCAGCGATTACAGCATCGAGTCTTCTTGGGTATGACGCTACAAGCTTGGCACATCTGTATTTGGGGAGTTTCTCCCATTCTTCTCTGCAGATCCACTCAAGCTCTGTCAGGTTGGATGGGGAGCGTTGCTGCACAGCTATTTTCAGGTCTCTCCAGAGATGTTCGATCGGGTTCAAGTCCGGGCTCTGGCTGGGACACTCAAGGACATTCAGAGACTTGTCCCGAAGCCACTCCTGCGTTGTCTTGGCTGGGTGCTTAGGGTTGTTGTCCTGTTGGAAGGTGACCCTTCGCCCCAGTCTGAGGTCCTGAGCGCTCTGGAGCAGGTTTTCATCAAGGATCTCTCTGTACTTTGCTCCGTTCATCTTTCCCTCAATCCTGACTAGTCTCCCAGTCCCTGCCACTGAAAAACATCCCCACAGCATGATGCTGCCACCACCATGCTTTCCTGTAGGGACGGTGCCAGGTTTCCTCCAGATGTGACGCTTGGAATTCAGGCCAAAGAGTTCAATCTTGGTTTCATCAGACCAGAGAATCTTGTTTCTCATGGTCTGAGAGTCTTTAGGTGCCTTTTGGCAAACTCCAAGCGGGCTGTCATGTGCCTTTTACTGAGGAGTGGCTTCCGTCTGGCCACTCTACCATAAAGGCCTGATTGGTGGAGTGCTGCAGAGATGGTTGTCCTTCTGGAAGATTCTCCCATCTCCACAGAGAAACTCTAGAGCTCTGTCAAAGTGACCATCGGGTTCTTGGTCACCTCCCTGACCAAGGCCCTTCTCCCCCGATTGCTCAGTTTGGCTGGGTGGCCAGCTCTATGAAGAGTCTTGGTGGTTCCAAACTTCTTCCATTTAAGAATGTTGGAGGCCACTGTGTTCTTGGGGACCTTCAATGCTGCAGAAATGTTTTGGTACCCTTCCCCAGATCTGTGCCTCGACACAGTCCTGTCTCGGAGCTCTACGGACAATTCCTTCGACCTCATGGCTTGGTTTTTGCTCTGACATGCACTGTCAACTGTGGGACCTTATATAGACAGGTGTGTGCCTTTCCAAATCATGCCCAATCAATTTAATTTACCAAAGGCGGACTCCAATCAAATTGTAGGAACATCTCAAGGATAATCAATGGAAACAGGATGCACCTGAGCTCAATTTCGAGTCTCATAGCAAAGGGTCTGAATACTTAAGTAAATAAGGTATTACAAAAATATATATATATACACACATTTGCAAAAATGTCTAAAAACCTGTTTTCGCTTTGCCATTATGGGGTATTGTGTGTAGATTGCTGAGGATAATTTTTTTTTAAAAAAATCAATTTTCGAATAAGGCTGTAACGTAACAAAATGTGGAAAAAGTCAAGGGGTCTGAATACTTTCAGAAGGCACTGTATATTATATATATATATACTGTATATACAATTATATTCGTGTTTGTGGATGAATTTACTTCTGCCAGATGCCTTTTATGACGTTTTTTGCGCTGAAGACCATTGCGCTACATTGCCCATTGAAGACCATTCAAAATGCCTACAAAAGTAAAAAAAACTACCAGGCTACTTCTTGGAAAATGACGCGTCACTTTCATACTGTATATTGTGGCCATTCGGACACAAACATAGATTTTTCTAAATAAGCTGTCATGGATTAAGGAAAATGCAAGGCTGAAACCCCTAACCGGTTGAGGCCGGAATGTTCCAAGTCTTTTTTTACACAAATCAAGTGTGTGATGAAGTTGGAGCGCTACCATGGTAACTGGGGGCCTACACGCTCCTGTGGCGTGGGTGCTAAAGTATAACCGGTGTGCGGAGATTCGCTCACAATTCAACAATAACCATGACACCTGTATGTGTGAGAATCATATCGCTCTCAAGTCTCTTTTTCAGAGACACTATACTAAATTATAAACTGGGTGGTTCGAGCCCTGAATGGTGATTGGCTGACAGCCGTTGTATCTCAGACCGTATACCACGGGTATGACAAAACATTTATTTTTACTGCTCTAATTACGTTGGTAACCAGTTTATAATAGCAATAAGGCAACTCGGGGGTTTGTGGTATATGGCCAATATACCACGGCTAAGGGCTGTGTCCAGGCACTCCACCGTGGTATATTGGCCATATACAACACCCCCTCGGGCCTTATTGCTTAAATATACTGCAAGATCCTTGGCTCTAGTGCCATTTAAGGAACCCTAATCGCTACGTAGAACTAGGCACAGAAAAACACAAAACACTAGCAGACTGAAGCCAAGCACAAAACCCAAACCCAACAACACCAAAAAGTTCAAACAGAACTCTTACCTGTGGCAGCAGCTGTGGGGCGGTTGAGTCTGGCCGAGCCGGCCCTCTGTAGGGGGTTCTGGGCCTGCTTGCCTGCTACCTGGCTGGTCACCGCTGGAGTCTTCAGCCCTATGGTAGTGAAACCCCATGTCAACAGACAGACTAAACCTAACTGTAGCCTTGTAGCAGAGACTACCAGGTTATAGGGCTAGTGTGGTCTTATGGAGTATCTGTGTAGTAGTGGAGCTTGGGTCTTGAAGGAGAGCTCAGAGATTTAGACTGTGTCCACCTCCTACAGGGTACAAGCCCCTGTGTCCACCTACTACAGGGTACAAGCCCCTGTGTCCACCTACTACAGGGTACAAGCCCCTGTGTCCACCTCCTACAGGGTACAAGCCCCTGTGTCCACCTCCTACAGGGTACAAGCCCCTGTGTCCACCTACTACAGGGTACAAGCCCCTGTGTCCACCTCCTACAGGGTACAAGCCTCTGTGTCCACCTCCTACAGGGTACAAGCCTCTGTGTCCACCTACTACCAGGTACAAGCCCATGTGTCCACCTCCTACAGGGTACAAGCCTCTGTGTCCACCTCCTACAGGGTACAATCCTCTGTGTCCACCTCCTACAGGGTACAAGCCCATGTGTCCACCTACTACAGGGTACAAGCCCCTGTGTCCACCTACTACAGGGTACAAGCCCCTGTGTCCACCAATTACAGGGTACAAGCCCATGTGTCCACCTACTACAGGGTACAAGCCCCTGTGTCCACCTACTACAGGGTACAAGCCCCTGTGTCCACCAACTACAGGGTACAAGCCTCTCTGTCCACCTACTACAGGGTACAAGCCCCTGTGTCCACCTACTACAGGGTACAAGCCTCTTGTCACCACTACAGGGTACAAGCCCTTTGTCCACTAAACTACAGGGTACAAGCCTCTCTGTCCACCTACTACAGGGTACAAGCCCCTGTGTCCACCTACTACAGGGTACAAGCCTCTCTGTCTACCTACTACAGGGTACAAGCCCCTGTGTCCACAACTACAGGGTACAAGCCTCTCTGTCCACCTACTACAGGGTACAAGCCCTCTGTCCACTACTACAGGGTACAAGCCTGTGCAATCAGGACAGCCTCTATCACCTACGGGTCCCCTTTCCACCAACTAAGTTATCAATCTGATCTTCACCTACTACAGGTACATAGGTGGATAAGAAACCCTCATAATCACCTGGGCCCAGCTTTTCAAAAAGTTATCTATCTGGATTTCCTCTATCGGATAGGATTAAATCCATAGAAATATAATTAATAGAACGGAAGAATCACTGACTTGAATGAGGACTTGAATGAGGACTCCTATCCGGTTGCTGAAATCCGGAGAGATAACTTTTGAAAAACTGGGCCCTGTAGACTGCTACTCAATGGGAATCGGAGGATGATGGGTCATTTGGGCCACGGGGAGGGAAAGGATTATGTTGAAATATGATTTTAGAAACTAGCCATATCCTCAACTAGATATAGTTAGATAAACAGCTAGTCTGTTGATATTTGGTTTGGTATTGTCCAATATAGTGGGAAAAAAATTCTAGATATTTGTGGGAATTGAGAGAGTTGAGGGAATATCCAGGAATTTAGAAAGTTGAGTTGCTAAAACCAATGAGAAAATCAGACTGACCTAGATACAATGGAATAAAACATCTTGGTGCTCATATAATGTTTACACTTCAACCCAGCAGAAATCCACAGGGAAAATCAACTAACATACCGACTACTGTATCCATTAACTGTCAGTGGTCACTGCTACCATGGCAACATGACGTCGCTACAGCAGATGTACTGTTCTCCATCTACCCCAAGCTAATATTATTCATATCCAGTGGGCACTTTCAGAGGCCATAGAAATAAACAGATATTCTATACTGTGCATTCGGAAAGTATTCAGACCCCTTCCCTTTTTCCACATTTTGTTACGTTACAGCCTTATTCTAAAATTCATCTACACACAATACCCCATAATAACAAAGTGAAAACTGTTTTTTAGACATTTTTGCAAATGTATAATTTTCTTTCTTCAGAAAATACCTTATTTACATAAGTATTCAGACCTTTTGCTATGAGACTCGAAATTGAGCTCAGTTACATCCTGTTTCCATTGATCATCCTTGAGATGTTTCTACAACCTGATTGGAGTCCACCTGTGGTCAATTCAATTGATTGGACATGATTTGGAAAGGCACACACCTGTCTATATAAGGTCCCACAGTTGACAGTGCATGTCAGAGCAAAAACCAAGCCATGAGGTCGAAGGAATTGTCCGTAGAGCTCCGAGACAGGATTGTGTCAAGGCACAGATCTGGGGAAGGGTACCAAAACATTTCTGCAGCATTGAAGGTTCCCAAGAACACAGTGGCCTCCATAATTCTTAAATGGAAGAAGTTTAGAACCACCAAGACTCTTCATAGATCTGGCCACCCGGCAAAACTGAGCAATCTGGGGAGAAGAGCCTTGGTCAGGGAGGTGACCAAGAATCCGATGGTCACTCTGACAGAGCTCCAGAGTTCCTCTGTGGAGATGGGTTAAACTTCCAGAAGGACAACCATCTCTGTAGCACTCCACCAATCAGGCCTTTATGGTAGAGTGGCCAGACGGAAGCCACTCCTCAGTAAAGGGCACATGACAGCCCGCTTGGAGTTTGCCAAAAGGCACCTAAAGGACTCTCAGACCATGAGAAACAAGATTCTCTGGTCTGATGAAACCAAGATTGAACTCTTTGGCCTGAATGCCAAGCGCCACGTCTGGAGGAAACCTGGCACCATCCCTACGGGAATGCATGGTGGTGGCAGCATCATGCTGTGGGGATGTTTTTCTGCGGCAGGGACTGGGAGACTAGTCAGGATTGAGGGAAAGATGAACGGAGCAAAGTACAGAGAGATCCTTGATGAAAACCTTCTCCAGAGCGCTCAGGACCTCAGACTGGGGAGAAGGTTCACCTTCCAACAGGACAACCACCCTAAGCACACAGCCAAGACAACGCAGGAGTGGCTTCGGGACAAGTCTCTGAATGTCCTTGAGTGTCCCAGCCAGAGCCCGGACTTGAACCCGATCGAACATCTCTGGAGAGACCTGAAAATATTTGTGCAGCGACGCTCCCCATCCAACCTGACAGAGCTTGAGAGGATCTGCAGAGAAGAATGGGAGAAACTCCCCAAATACAGGTTTGCCAAGCTTGTAGCGTCATACCCAAGAAGACTCAAGGCTGTAATCGCTGCCAAAGGTGCTTCAACAAAGTACTGAGTAAAGGGTCTGAATACTTATGTAAATGTGATATTTCTGTTTTTTATTTTTATAAAAATGTCTAAAAACCTGTTTTTGCTTTGTCATTATGGGGTATTGTGTGTGGATTGATGAAGGGAAAAAAACAATTTAATCCATTTTAGAATAAGGCTGTAACGTAACAAAATGTGGAAACAGTCAAGGGGTCTGAATACTTTCCAAATGCACTGTATGACCAATATAAGGGGGTGCTATATTCATTGACAACACAGGGACTGAGGTTGGTTGGTAATACAATCCTGGTTCTGTAATATTCCAAACTATGGGGTTCTGTTGGAACAGCACATTGGGTCTGATCAGAAGAAACGAACACATTTGAATACGAATATGTCCATATTTGAGCTAAAAGACATTCAAGTCAAGGAGATGGCGTATGTATGTGTGTGTGTGTGTGTGTGTGTTTAAATCAAAGCACCAGATGAGACATCATCATCTGGGTTAAATAAGACTATTCCATCTGATACTGATCAGAGAAACACATCAAAGACAGTGAAACTGATTCATTAGTGAAACTGATTAGTAATGTTGAGCACATTTAGACACATCTGCACATGTTTAAATGCTAACTATGCTTAGGCCATCAGACTTAAAGTGATAGGCCTCAAAATCAAAAGGTTAGTGAGTGAAAGTAAGCATACACCAAGGATCTGTGGAAGTATTGTGTGTGTGTGTGTGTGCTCACCTGTTGCAGTGCTTCTCCCTGGTAGTGAGGGGGCTCTGGTTCGGAACCCCAGTGGGTTGCTGGGGGCCTTAACCGACCCCTGGGTGACCCCTGGAGCGGTAGGCCGGCTGGGCCTCTCCTCTGGCTTACAGCACCCGATCACTGGAGCTGGGACTAGGACAGAGAAAGACAGGGATGATCAGTTAATACTAGAATTAAGAAATAACTCATACAAATATAGTCTATTAACCACTTGGAAATAGACTGAAACTCATTCAAACCTCACTCAACTGTATTTGGTTTAGTTTGAGTTGTTCAATACTCAAAGATGATTGGCTTGCACGTGCAACTTCAGCACACACAACATTCTATAATAGAATTGTGTTATTTGACGTGTCTCTTTTTTGACACGCAAAGACCCAAATGGCGTTCCACCCTTCAATACTGAAAGATGATAGTTCTACTGTATCAAAACTGAAATAGTCTCCTTTGTGAATAACTGTGTGTGGGCAGATAGAGAACCTCTCACAGCCCAAACATCAGAAAGAAAAACGCAATCATCTCCACACTGTTTACACCACATAATTCCCCTCGTTAAACTAAATGCACATAATGCCGATTTCCCACCAAAGGGGAATAATTTCTGGTCCTAATTATCTACATGATTACAATCATTAGGCAACTGATTACCAATGTCTCAAAACGCTGCATAAACAATATTATCTGCATTTGTGCATCTCTGCATCTCCCGAGTGGCGCAGTGGTCTAAGGCACTGCATCGCAGTGCTAGCTGTGCCACTAGAGATCCTGGTTCGAATCCAGGCTCTGTCGTAGCCGGCCGCGCCCGGGAGACCCATGGGGCGGCGCACAATTGGCACAGCGTCGTCCAGGGTAGGGGAGGGAATGGCCGGCAGGGATGTAGCTCAGTTGGTAGAGCATGGCGTTTGCAACGCCAGGGTTGTGGGTTCGATTCCCACGGGGGGGGCAGTATGAAAAAAAAATATATATATATATAAAAGAAGAATAAAAATAAAATAAAAAAATTAAAGAATGTATGCACTCACTAACTGTAAGTCGCTCTGGATAAGAGCGTCTGCTAAATGACTAAAATGTAAAATGTAAATGTTGTGACAGCCGCCTGTAGCTCAATTAGAGCAATGGGAAACAATTATGTTTATGTAGTTAAGGTGCAATGGTAGATTGATTTGAGTGATCACTGTGTGTGTGTGATTATTTCCTCTGTAAACAGAGGTGGCGCATCGCCATATGAACAGTATCTTGGTCGTCATCTGATCACCACGACAACCTGCTCATCCAACAGTAACCATAGGTCTTCTACCTCGGCGGTGAGTCATTGCAGTGAGAGTGTGAGAGAGAGAGAGTGTGTGAAAGTGTGCATGTGTGGAGAGAGAGAGCGATTGCGAGAAGAGTGAGAGAGTGCATGAGAGCGATGGAGAGGAGAGAGAGAGAGAGAGAGAGAGAGAATGAGAGAGACGGAGAGAGAGAGAGAATGAGAGAGAGAGAGAGAGAGAGAGAGAGAGAGAGAGAGAGAGAAGGAAAAAACATGTTTCCCTTTCCTCTACTGTTCTGTCACTAAAGGAATTCCAGGTTTCCAAGACATTCCTCCAGCAGGTCTTCCCCACCCCCCTCTTCTTTCTCTTCAACAGAGTGGTGGCAGTACTGCAGTGAACAAACACAACCATTGACCATCTATCCCCATTTAGTCCAAGTCACACAGGGAGGCCATGTGATGCTGTTGATAAGCATTATTCAGACTTATCCCATTAGACCAATATAATACTGGGCTATTACATGAAACTATTAGATAGTAATAGAAACCTCACTGTCAAACTCAACTCTACACGTTCAATGTGTTGTGTGTTGGTTTAAGTATAGATTTCCTGATAAACTGAGATACAGCAACTACACATTATCCAGTATTGACTGGTTCAGTATAGCAAGCTAACACTGGTGGAGCTTATTGACTCAAAATGCCTTTAGGGACATGTACATTAAATCAGTGCAGACCTGACAGCAGGCTACAGCAGGTCTGTACAATAAGCATGTAGACTTTCTGGAAACTAATATTTACTCCCTGAAATTAGTTAAATAAATGTGTGTGAGTAAGAGTCAGTCCTCACCCTCCTCCAAACACACCTCAATGTTCCCCAACACACAACCACCACCCAACTGCCACCTCCTACAACTCCCCAGCAGCTACAGTAGATATAGAGAGGAGGATGTGCAGGACCAGATGTAACCCAGAGGTTTATGGTGCCGTCCAGACAAAGCCCCCGGGGATATGTGGGTCAGGAGAGTACCCTGTCCGCCTCTCTGATCATATACATATTAACACACACACACACACAGAGCCTGGGCAGATGTGAACTCTGACCTCGATAGAGAAAGCAGGAATGCCACGGCAACGAGGGGCCAGATTCACGCTGACATTCTCTTCAGAGAGTCAAATGGCAGGGGAGACTCATGGAGAGTGTGTGTGTGTCTGAGAGAGCTAATGTCTAGAGGAGGATGTGAATCACCAGCAACAGGAAGACCACACCAATGAAAACCCCTGCTTGCACACTGTGTGTGTGTGTGTGTGTGTGTGTGTGTGTGTGAGGCTTTCTGTGGTTGAGCAATGTAGGAAGAATAACTCAATACATTTTTACATTTTAGTCATTTAGCAAACACTCTTATCCAGAGCGACTTACAGTTAGTGAGTGAATACATTTTCATACATTTTCATACGCACGCACACACACAGTCTCACACACACAGTCTCACCTTTGCTGGGGGCTGCTGGAGATCCATTACTCTCCCTGGCGGCGCTGCCCAGAGAAGACGAGCTAAGGCTTGTGGGTAGGTTCTTCACGGGCAGTTTGGACGCGGCGGCGGTGGCGGCAGGCCGAGCAGCACCTAACCCCTGGTTGACCGACGGCTTTGGGTTAGAGGTCACCACAGTAGGGGCAGCCAATCCTGAGGGTCTGTCTGTGACACGTGGCTTGGGGATACCTGGGAAATGTAGGAAAGGACCAACAGGGATCATCAGTTTCAGTGCAGGTTTTGGGAGAAGTATTCACGTCTGTATCAGTGTATGAATCAATGTCGATAATATAAATATGTCAGTATACTTAAGCAATAAGGCACGAGGGGGTGTGGTATATGGCCAATATACCACGGCTAAGGGCTGTTCTTATGCATAACGCAACGCGGAGTGCCTGGATACTTTATAGCTATTATAAACTGGTTACCAACGTAATTAGAGCAGTAAAAATAAAATGTTTTGTCACACCCATGGTATACGGTCTGATATACCACAGCTGTCAGCCAATCAGCATTCATGTGTACATGTGTATCCATGACAACGCCCTGAGTGGACCTGTGGGTTCAGCCACCATCGGCTTTGCTCATCAGAGACAGCAAAGAGAGGAAGAGCCTGCTGTGTAGAGATTAGTAGTAGGATAACAATGATCTATTGTATGGTCAGTTTGACGTTTTCCCTCATGATGGTCAGGGTTCGGACTGGAGCAGGGAAAGCTGGTCCTGGATCTGTGTGTATACGAAACGTCTAGCTCAAGCTGTTAGATATTTCAGTAACACCACTGAATAGACCTCCTGTGTACAGTTTTAGTTACCACCAAAATAACCCTTTGACAACGAACTGGTTTGGTGTAAAAAACATACAGTATTTTACACTCAGTTTACCAAACGTTAGGTACACCTTCCTAATATTGAGTTACACCCCCTTTTGCCCTCAGAACAGCCTCGATTCGTCCTCTACTCTACAAGGTGTCGAAAGCGTTCCACAGGGATACTGGCCCATGTTGACTCCAATGCTTCCCACAGTTGTGTCAAGTTGGCTGGATGTCCTTTGGGTGGCGGACCATTCTTGATACACATGGGAAACTTTAGAACGTGAAAAACCCAGCAGCGTTGCAGTTCTTGACACAAACTGGTGCGTCTGGCACCTACTACCATACCCCGTTCAAAGGCACTTCAATCTTTTGTCTTGCCCATTCACCCTCTGAATGGCACACATACACAATCCATGTCTCAATTGTCTCAAGGCTTAAAAATCATCAACACTGATTGAAGTGGATTTAACAAGTGACATCAATAAGGGATCATAGCTTTCACCTGGATTCACCTGGTCAGTCTATGCCATGGAAAGAGCATAATGTTTTGTATACTCAGTGTATAATTGAGAACTTATAGCTGTGTGATGGTTGCCTGAATATCTTAGGAAGACACAAATAGACATGTTTATGTTACCTAGGCAACATTTGGAGCTCTGTGTGTTCACCTCGTGGTGAGTGTTCACAACAAGGTAAGAATGAACACAAGCACAAGCATTTCTTTGAACACAAGCATGTTGCCTCAGTAACCACATATGACATTTGGGAACAAATGATGGTGATTGAGTAACAGACAGCCTTTGAACTTTTATTTGTGTGGAGAAGGTTTCTGAATGTGCCTCTCAAAGGCGCCTTTTCAACATGGCCAGAGTTCAGGGTCAAATTTGGCACAGTTTTTTCAGAAACAAGCAAACTATTGTCCACTCAGAATTTGACGTTTTCCGACAGATTCATTCTTCCACACACACCCCCTCATATCCGCTCCGCTCCCGAATTTTATGCACTTTTCTCTCTATGCGTATTCTGACCTTAAACTTAAGCATGAGAATAGCATGCTATTCACCTGCTATTCGTTTGGGGTGGAGATTGAATTACATTTTAGTCATTTAGCAGACGCTCTTATCCAGAGCGACTTACATTTAGTGAGTGCATACATTTTCATACTGGCCCCCCGTGGGAAACGAACCCACAACCCTGGCATTGCAAGCGCCATGCTCTACCAACTTAGCTACAGGGGACATAAATAAATAAATGAAGGAGTGGCGGAGGTGTGTCTACAGATACGCCGTATTCTGACCTTGACTTCATTCCCTCTTAAGTCCACCCCCTTTACGAGCAGGAAACCATGAATAAGGTCAACCACACATATTCAGCTGCCAATTTACTGATAGTTCCCTTCAGGTGGTATAGCATTATCATTACATTGTTTGGTTTACATTCATTTGCTTCCACTGTCAACGCCGTCACGTTCATGTGGTTGTTGCTGACGATCATTAGTAACAGTTGATATAAAAAAAAATGACATGTAGGTGAATTAAATGGTTATGGAGGGGAGCGCAGACCACGCCGTAACAGTCAGAACCTGATGGTTAATGCAGGTAAGGGCAGGCAATAGACGAGGGTGTAGCCTACTATTGTACACTATTCTCCCTATCATAATTCTATGTACAAACATTTTCCAACATTACCATGGGTTACCATGGGTTGAAAAACTGAATATGGCAGTTTTCAGGATGAATCAAACCACTGTATGTTTTATTAAAGGCTCTCCAAACCTGTGTTTTATGATTCATAAATACTTTCCTAACCCTAAATAATCTACAAGATCAGACTATTTTTAAATCTAACAATTGGTGCTAAAACGGGGTGGCAGGTAGCCTAGCGGTTAAGAGTGTTGGGCCAGTAACCGAAAGGTCGCTGGTTCGAATCCCCGAGCCGACTACATGAAAAATCAGCAGATGTGCCCTTGAGCAAGGCACTTAACCCTATTTGCTCCTGTAAGTCGCTCTGGATAAGAGCGTCTGTAAATGTGAAATGGAGACGAAAATGCATGTATTTAGACGGCTTTCTTTCATTGGTCCCTAATATTCCGAACCCATTCTCTCAATATATTCTAGTGAGTCTGTCGACAAAATCACACCGTATTTAAAGGGATGGCTTAAGATAAATGTACTGAAAACCCTACTGAATGAAAATGCCACAAGAAAATGTGTTGGCCAGCAAGTGGGAGGGTTTTCAGCGGTTGAATAAAATGTATTCAGCCACACCTGCAGAGCGCGTTACGCGACTGAATAAGGTAAGTCTGAATACCAAATACTGAGAAGTGAGTAAGAAAGGCGCAAATTTTCTAAGTCTGAATCGGCCTCTTGGAGACTAGATGGAAGACAACATGTTGATGTCTCACGTAACTAAGACTACGTCCCAAATGACACCCTATTCCCTATATAGTGCACTAAGTTTTACTAGGGCCCATAAGGCTCTTGTCAAAAGCAGTGCACTATATAGGGAATAGGGTACCATTTGGGACTCACTCCAAATGACCCACATCACACATTTAAGTCATTTAGCAGACGCAAGAAAAGAAAGCCTTTTGTGTGTATGGGGACACAGAGGAACAAACATTAGATCAAACCCCTCGGGCAAAAGGAAGAGAGGACCCGAAAGAAAGAAATAATCCAAAAAGAAGGAAGAAGGAGAGAAAGACACAAAGAGAGAGTGAGAGAGACAGAGAGAGACAGAGAGAGAGAGAGAGAGAGAGAGACAGAGACAGAGACATAGAGAGAGAGAGAGAGAGACAGAGAGAGCGACAGAGAGAGAGAGAGACAGAGAGAGAGAGAGAGAGAGAGAGAGATACATAGAGAGAGAGACAGACAAAGAGAGAGAGAAGGAGAGAGAAAGAGAGAGACAGAGAGACAGAGACAGAGACATAGAGAGAGAGAGAGAGAGAGAGACAGAGAGAGCGACAGAGAGAGCGACAGAGAGAGAGAGATACATAGAGAGAGATACATAGAGAGATACATAGAGAGAGAGACAGACAGAGAAAGAGAGAGAGAAGGAGAGAGAAAGAGAGAGACAGAGAGAGAGAGACAGAGAGAGAAAGAGACAAGGTTACATATGCTTTCAACTTCCTCTGAGGACACACTGAGAGGGAAGTTGGAGTAAAATTAGACCCCAGACACATGCAAGGTCACAGGCAAACACACACAGTCAGTCTCCCATTTTAAATGGCTCTTAAAAGATGCAGTTGGCTACATGTGGTGAGGGAATATGATGTGAGAGAGAGAGAGAGAGAGAGAGAGAGAGAGAGAGAGAGAGAGAGAGAGAGAGAGAGAGAGAGAGAGATGAAAATAGAGAGAGAGAGTTATCTTATGTAACTGTGCAGCACTGAGACAGACCCAAGCAGAAACACACAGTCTGGAGATCCACACGCCCGCCTGCCCGCCCGCCCGCCCGCAAAGTGACAAAGTGAAGAAATGACAGTGTAGAACAGACATTGCTGTGTGTGTACAGACTTGAAACTGTGCGTGAGAGAATGTGTGTGTGTGTGCTTGTGAGGTGCAGTGGACCGTGAAAAGCATTTTAACTGTCAGCTCTGCAGTGTCAGAGACAAGGACACTTTAAACACACACTCTGGTTTGGGTGAACAAGACACACACTCGTACGCGCCACACACACACACACACACACAATCAACACAGATCAGATCAAGACAATCAGACAGAAACAAACACATGGAGCAACAGAGAGATCGTGTGTGTGTGTGTGTGTGTGTGTGTGTGTGTGTGTGTGTACACTCACCAGCTGGCGGACTTGGTCGTCCTCTCGGTGGAGACCCACTCCCAGTGGTCTGGCCGTCTTTCCCCGTCGTAGGAGGAGCAGGAGGGGGCAGCCTGGAGCCAAGACTCCCTCCTACTGGAGCTGGAGAGGTGGGAGACAGGGAGGGTCCCCCAGTGTTGCTCGCTCCCCCGGCCCCCCTGCCCTTGACCTGTGGCAGCTGCCTGGCCGATGAGGTCCCCAGCTTGGAGGAGACCTTCTGCAGAAAGAGCTGTCGTTTAGTTACCGCGTCCCAGCCCATGGGGCCCAGCTCGGAGCTGCGCACCGAGACCATGGTGTTGGCCATTACAGAGTCGGAGGCAGAAATGTGGAAGTAGACGCACACAGGCAGGAGGAGTGAGAAGGAGGGGGAGGAGAGAGAGAGAGAGGGAGGGAGGAGGAAGGAAGGGGAAATAGGAGTAGGCTGGAACTCTGAGGTAAAAAATGTTGCTATTGTACTACATTCCCTCTGGGATTCACTGCTGGGACCAGTTTCTCTCTCTCTCTTTCTTTCCTCCCTCATTCTTTCCTCTCCCTCTTTCAAATTCCTCCCTCTTTCGTCTTCTATAAACACAGGGCACATATGGAGTGAGTTTGCAGGCGAGTTTTCAAAGAAAATACTTAACTGACTACTATAAATGTTCAGACTATTCTTAGGCTGTTCAGAACAGTTTGACAAATGGCTTTTGCCTTCATATGAGAAGTGTCTGAGAAACAAATCTGTCCTGAGGACAGTTTCAAACTGAGAACAGAATGTGGCGGAACATTCTCAACAACCGACGTGTCACACACACACACACACGCAGATGTCAAGACATTCCATAGAAAATGATTGGGGTCGCTGCACTTCATGTTGTCGTTCAACAGAACCCAAAAACAAAACCCGTCTGTGTTCAATGTTCAACAGTATAACTGGTCTTGAAAACGCTCTGCAGTGAATGATACAGTTGACATTTAAACCCAAAGCACTCTAGCCAGGGATTACTTAAGCCTGAATAACAACATAGTTAAGTCATGTGATGACATGCTCACAGCCAGACTTCAGACTTGCCTGAGCAACTATTCAATCACGCCACTCACAAACACAGGAAGAGTTGAAACCTGTCAATGGTTTTAAAGGAAAAATGCCAACAAAAAACCACTCCCTCACCTAAAACCACTGCTCCAAACCGTTTAGGGATGAAACCAGCCTTGGGTTTGGTCTATACATGCGTCATATCATCATGATAAAGTACAGTATGTTCCTGGTGACTGCAAATCTCAGTCAGTTCACTAACAGGCCCTGTTGTGGATACTAAAAATACATCCTTCCTAACTTCTTGGAGGAAATCACTGATCTGACCAAGTTGAATTGGGTGAGGGCAATCTGGTGTGGGGTCTTCTATCATGTGACGTACTGATCAGTGTTTACATCAAGGGAGAGAGAGAGAGAGAGAGAGCTAGAGACAGAGAGAGAGAGAGAGAGAGAGAGAGAGAACACACACTACTTACTGTGCCGTTGCTTCTCCTTTTTTCTGCAGGCGTCTCACCCCCTGCTCCCTCTGTAGTGTCCTCTCTAGTACACCCTCCTGTAGTACCATTCTCTTCTCCATTTGGGACACCCTCTCCAGGGGTCCTCTGGTGCTCATCCACAGCCAACTCTGAACCCAGAGAGCTGCTGGAGGTGGAGCGAATACCATTGGCTACAGTGCCCGTCCTCCTCTTCTCTGATTGGTTAGAGACTCTGGGCTCAGCGTTTTGATTGGGTCTGGGTTTGGTGCCCGGCAACAGTGAAGCTACTTTGGTTTGACCCAAAGACGACCTTTGCCTTTTGACTCCGTCTGGGGCTTTCTTTTCATTGGCTGGAGCAGCTTTTCCCTGCGTCTGATTGGCTGTTCTGGGTGCAGAGGTGGGCCTGGACATGATCTTAGACTTGACGTTCTTCAGGTCGGGTTTGGGGAACCTCTTGATGTCGGTCTTACCAGGTTTGGATGTCGTGGTGACCATTGTCTTGGCGATGGCGGCGTTCGGTTTGACCCGAGTTGCACACGGGTGTTGCTTGGTCTTGCGGAAGCCGGGGCTCGCACCCTGGGACCCTTCGTTTGGAGACTGGGGAACGGTAAAGGGGGACACTGCCAAATCCACACTCTTGGAGACTTGTACTGGGGTGGAGGTCTGGGAGATGACAGTGAAGCCTTGAGAATCAGGAGACACTATAGTCTCACTGAGAATAACCTCTAGTGCCACACCAGGCTCAGTGTCTGCTGCCTCCCCCATGGGGAGAACATCCAGAGGGCAGGCCTCCTCGGGCAGATCCACTCCCACCTGAAGCGCCTCTCTATCGGGCAGACCTGGTGAACTCCTGCCCCTGGTCTGGAGGTTCTGGAGTTCCATGGTGACGGACCCAGCATGAGGACTCTTCCTCCCCTCAAGGCCCTTACAGAGGTCAGGTAGTGGGGCGGAGAGTGGAGCTTGGATGGGAGCAGTGGTAGAGGGGGAGGCCGTGTCCGAGTCCTCCAGGATGGACACCCCGCTGCTGGGGAGACGCTCCGAGTCGCTCAGGCTGATTCTCCTCATCACCATGTCCGAGCTCATCGACAGGAACCGACCCTTCCTCATCATCTTCAACATCATCATCGTCACCGGGGATCTCCGTGGCCGCAGAGTCCGGAGAAGAGTCCCTTCTCCCACCGCTGTTGCTCGCCACACTGCTGACGTCATCATGGAGATCGCCCTGGATACTGTTGCTATGCTCCCGTATCCCAGCAATGCTCATGGCGAGGGTCAGGTTGTCGTTCCAGGAGTCCTCATCAGCGTCCACGTAGACGGACACCGAGTTCTCGTTGGATTCCGAGAACTCTGTCTGAGGCGGTTCCTCAGCGGGTGAGACGCCGGCCATTTTGATTTGGGTCGTCATCACGCATTCCATGTCGACGTCCAGGCTACTCAGACTCTGCAGGGAGTCTGGGGAGGAAGAGGAAGAGGAGGAAGACGAGACAGGGAAAGCATTGCCATTTTGGTCGCCGGTGCGGAGGAGGGGGAGCCTCATTCCGGAGCTGTTCATGCCCCCGACGGGGACGCGTTCCCCGGGCTGAGACACACTCATCTCTGGCCTGGTCCTGGGTGGTGCGTGGGGAAAGCTAATGCTGCTAACTGCTAAAGACCTCAAAACAAGGTCAAACTGCTGACAACTCCATGCTTACAGCAACTCTTGTTCATCTACGTAGGCAGACGTCTATTGAGGAAGGTGAGTCATTGATTAAAGCTGACTCAGATCAACTCAATACCAGTGATAAGTAGTCAGTGGTCCCTATAGGCCTAGGAGTCACTGGGAGGTAGATATTGAAGTGCACTTTTGGACTAGAAGTGAGGAGTGGTCCCCTTCTAAGGCCCCTTCAACTGACCCCTTAGTTCAGTCACTGGAGTGGAGTCCATACTCTTCAGAGTCCTCCTTTGAAAACACAACGACAAGGAAACACAGGCATCAATATCACATCACAGTTAGCAATTTATTATCTCCAATGCCGATAAGACTTTACTTGACAGTGTCTACGATATGAACATAACAGTTTCATAAACAGAGACAGACAGAGAGAGAGAGCGAGAGAGCATGACAGAGAGAGAGAGAACTCTGCTGCCCTCTGTTGGTCAAAGATAGGAAGTGATTAAACTGGATATTACACCACTAAAAATGCACTACAACACCACACATTTTAACAAAAGCACACAGTGTATCAACATAACCTAATTACTTATGATATGGAAACTCGTGTAATGCTTGAATCCCAAATTCAAAATCATTTTCTCTTGGAAGTATCTTCAAACAACTGATACCCTGCCATTCATACAGTAGGTGGTATTACAATAAGCAGAAATCTGTTGCCATTTAAACCAATGAGGTCAACCAGCTTAGGACAAAATATTCTCCCTTATTAATGAAACTGGCTTTGATACTCATAACCAGGGGAAAAGTAAAGATGCTGGAAAGTTGGTCTCTGTATTTAGTATTGATAGGAGGTGACACTACAAAGAGCCTCACCACACTGTTCCAGAAATGGCCTTTCATAAAAGTTACAAACAACAGCTCTGTCGAAGCTTAGGCAATGTTAGAAAGGCCATAGACGTACAGTAGTGTACGTCCCAAATGGCACCCTATTCCCCATTTAGTGCACTACTTTTGAGCAGGCCCCATAGCGCTCTGGTCAAAGGTACTGCAGTAGGGCAGTGTTTCCCAACTCCAGTCCTCCAGTACCCCCAAAAGCACACATTTTTGTTGTAACCCCGGACAACCACACCTGATTCAACTTGTCAACGAATCATCAAGCCCTCAATGAGTTGAATCAGGTGAGTTTGTCTGGGCGACTACAACAAAAATGTGTGCTTTTGGGGGCACTGGAGGACTGGAGTTGGGAAACTCCAGAATAGGGTGCCATTTGGGACATGCAGTATGAGGGTGAATGCAGAGACAGAGACTAAACTGAACTAAATGGAGAAACAGAAAAGATCGGGGTGGCATTCATTAGGCACCAAACGTCAGAAAAACAGACAAACATGGTAGGACGACCTGAACTAATCTGATAGGAAAACGTTTTGTTACGTTGCGCTTTAACGAACACACCCCAGATATTTTGCACATGATAACGATGAAGAGGAAAGCGTGTTTGCTGAGATACTGCAACACCAGATGGAGTCGCTTTGCTTTTTCCACGGAAACAACAACAGATATGCAGCAGGTTCCTGAGAGGGAAAGATCCGGAGAGAGAGAGAGAGAGGAACCTCCATTTAGCTAGCGAGGAACGGCTAGCAGTCCTCTGGGAACACGTGTTCTAAACCTTTGGACTACAGATGCGAGAGCTTGGTCTGAACGAGGAACAAACTGCAGCTCCATATCCAAAAACTAAGATAGATAGCTTGTGGTATACAGGCTAAAAGACTCCCACCTGCCTGTCAGTGTGTGTGTGTGTTAATCTGGGTCAGAGTGAGAATGAGAGGGGCTATAATAAGGATCAGTTTTATTTTCATATCCAGGACAGTGCTGCTTCAATGAATGGCCCAGCGACAATAGGAAGCCTATAGAGCCTATGAGCTCACTACTACACCTAGACAACAGTTAGTGCGACCGATAGTACTGCCTCACCTAGCGTGTTTTCTATAAACTCCACCCCTATTCACCCCAACAACATGGTCAACCCTACTGCACACTCAAACATGATCAACCAACCCAATACTTGTCAGGTTGTCATGGTATGTGAGAATTAGTTCTTAAAGCTGCAATAGGTAACTTTTTGGGCGACCCGACCACATTCACATAGAAATGAAATTTATAGATCTGTCATTCTCATTGAAAGCAAGTCTAAGAAGTGGTAGATCTGTTCTATGGGCGCTATTTCTATGCTTCCCGTTTTTAAGTTTAGTTTTTGCATCTTTTACTTTGGGTTTTGTACACCAGCTTCAAACAGCTGAAAATACAATATTGTTGGTTATGGAAAATATATTTCACGGCGGTTTAGATGGTACAATGATTCTCTATACTTTACTTGCTTGTTTTGTCACATAAACTGAAATGGCGGAGCGATTTCTACCAAGTGCATCTTTAACTGACTTGCCTGGATGAATATAGGTTGACTAAATAAAACATTTAGGAAGCCATTCAAATGCACAATGATGGCATTAACCACTTCATTCAGCAGGCTAATAGGTCATTCTAAATGCCATCACTTTGACATAATGCCATCACGGTTCATCTGATGCGTGGGAAGCAGGTAGTAGCAAATGATGTTACAGATGTTGTGGTGTCTCTTCCCTCTGCTGTTCTGAGTTGTTACTGATGTTGTGGTGTCTCTTCCCTCTGCTGTTCTGAGTTGTTACTGATGTTGTGGTGTCTCTTCCCTCTGCTGTTCTGAGTTGTTACTGATGTTGTGGTGTCTCTGCCCTCTGCTGTTCTGAGTTGTTACTGATGTTGTGGTGTCTCTGCCCTCTGCTGTTCTGAGTTGTTACTAATGTTGTGGTGTCTCTTCCCCGGGTGACCCGGTCTCATTTCTAATGCATGAGTTAGGGCTGGGCGGGCGACTGCAGACCTGAGTGTGTGTGTGTGTGTGTATCACACTGGCCTTATCAAACATGCATTAGCCCGCTGCCGTTGTGGGAACGCTAGCTGACAGGTGAGCTGGTACACCTGAGACAGAGTCCCACTGCCCTTTGGCATTTACCTCTATCCAGGAGGAGGGAGGTACCCCTGTAGCACTGTACAGCTCTACCATGCTGAGGGGGTTGTTAGTGTTTAAGGGTTGTTAGCGCTGAGGTTTAATGTCAAGAGAATTGTGTGTCTCCTATGACAAAAGAGTGTTATGAAGACTTCATGAATGCTATATTTACGCAATAAGGCTTGAGGAGGTGTGGTATATGGCCAATATACCACGGCTAAGGGCTGTTCTTACGCACGACGCAACGCGGAGTTCCTGGACACAGCCCTTAGCAGTGGTATATTGGCCATATACCACAAACCCCGAGGTGCCTTATTGCTATTATAAACTGGTTACCAACGTCTGTCATACCCGCGGTATACGGTCTGATATACCACGGCTGTCAGCCAATCAGCATTCAGGGCTCGAACCACCCAGTTTATATTAAGGTTTAGTTGATTGTCAAGGTGTACAACATTGGCAGCTAAGAGCTGATGTGCAGTCCATCTAAATAAATAAACAAATAATTAAATAAACAAATTAATCATGTGACATGGTGTGATAAATGTCTGTGTGGAAGGAGGGAGGGTGTATCAGTCGGTCAGAGCCAGCTGGAAGTCTCAGGAGCCTTGGTCAGGGACAGGGTCAGACAGGTCTGGACCCGGAGCAATGATGACTGGTCTGCAAACCAACTGGTCTCTGTAGCCGGTAGCTAGGCTCACTGCACGTCGGCAACTGTCCAAAGTAACCTTGTAGTACTCCCGAGCATCTGCACTCGTCCTCTGTCATCTCAGTTGCCCTCTCTAAATAAATCAGACGTGTCGTAAAACTGTGCGCGCGTGAACGAGCATTTAAAATTGAATGCCCATCTTTCACCTTTTATGGTGACAATAACGCCCTTATTTGCTGTATACTTTGGAAGTATTGGAATTAGGCCAAGACATTTGCTGTAGGCTATCTGACCGTTTCTAAAACAGAAACACAATTGCAAATTGTTGTGGACCTGTAAACAGATCGTTTTAATTCAATAATGTTTAGCATTTACTTTATCCGAACCTAAATATGCTGCACTGCCTGCGAATTCTGAAATATTGGTTTCCTTTGAATTTTTTACAAACTACAGTAGGCCTACTTACAGTGGTAGCCTACAGTCGTGGTCAAAAGATTTGAGAATTACACAAATATTAATTTTCAAAGTATGCTGCCACAGTTTTTATGATGGCAATTTGCATATACTCCAGAATGTTATGAAGAGTGATCAGATGAATTGCAATTAATTGCAAAGTCCCTATTTGCCTTGAAAATGAACTTAATCCCAAAAATACAATTTCCACTGCATTTCAGCCCTGCCACAAAAGGACCAGCTGCCATCATGTCAGTGATTCTCTCGTTAACACAGGTGAGAGTGTTGACGAGGACAAGGCTGGATATCACTCTGTCATGCTGATTGAATAACAGACTGGAACCTTTAAAAGGAGGGTGGTGCTTGAAATCATTGTTCTTCCTCTGTTAACCATGGTTACCTGCAAGGAAACACGTGCCGTCATCATTGCTTTGCACAAAAAGGGCTTCACAGGCAAGGAGATTGCTGCTAGTAAGATTGCACCTAAATCAACCATTTATCGGATCATCAAGAACTTCAAGGAGAGAGGTTCAATTGTTGTGAAGAAGGCGTCAGGGCGCCCAAGAAAGTCCAGCAAGCGCCAGGACCGTCTCCTAAAGTTGATTCAGCTGCGGGATCGGGGCACCACCAGTGCAGAGCTTGCTCAGGAATGGCAGCAGGCAGGTGTGAGTGCATCTGCACGCACAGTGAGGCAAAGACTTTTGGAGGATGGCCTGGTGTCAAGAAGGGCAGTGAGGAAGCCACTTCTCTCCAGGAAAAACACCAGGGACAGACTGATATTCTGCAAAAGGTACAGGGATTGGACTGCTGAGGACTGGGGTAAAGTCATTTTCTCTGATGAATCCCCTTTCCGATTGTTTGGGGCATCCGGAAAAAAGCTTGTCCGGAGAAGACAAGGTGAGCACTACCATCAGTCCTGTGTCATGCCAACAGTAAAGCATCCTGAGACCATTCATGTGTGGGGTTGCTTCTCAGCCAAGGGAGTGGGCTCACTCACAATTTTGCCTAAGAACACAGCCATGAATAAAGAATGGTACCAACACATCCTCAGAGAGCAACTTCTCCCAACCATCCAAGAACAGTTTGGTGATGAACAATGCCTTTTCCAGCATGATGGAGCACCTTGCCATAAGGCAAAAGTGATAACTAAGTGGCTCGGGAATGGGTCCATGGCCAGGAAACTCCCCAGACCTTAATCCCATTGAGAACTTGTGGTCAATCCTCAAGAGGCAGGTGGACAAACAAAAACCCACAAATTTGGACAAACTCCAAGCATTGATTATGCAAGAATGGGCTGCCATCAGTCAGGATGTGGCCCAGAAGTTAATTGACAGCATGCCAGGGCGGATTGCAGAGGTCTTGAAAAAGAAGGGTCAACACTGCAAATACTGACTCTTTGCATAAACTTAATGTAATTGTCAATAAATGCCTTTGACACTTATGGAATGCTTGTAATTATACTTCAGTATACCATAGTAACATCTGACAAAAATATCTCATAACACTGAGGCAGCAAACTTTGTGAGGACCAATACTTGTGTCATTCTCAAAACTTTTGACCACGACTGTACACACTTCAATGCAAAAGATCTACTGTCCGTTCACCTGTATGTTATAAACCGCGCTACCTTTCGGATGCATAGAGCAAAAACGTTTAATTGTAATAGCCTATCTAATAGGCCCAATTAAATTAGAGATGCGCATGGTAATTTGTTGTATGGCTACTTCGGGAATATGAACTCTTGGCCAGAAAAGGTGAGGAATTTATTCTGCAATGGTTATGCATTATGCTTATAAATGAAATGTTGTCTAGGCTACTCGAGAAATGTGACATTACAGTAGGCTATTCAGACGTAGCCTGAAAAAATCAATGGAAAAGGTGAACCGTCTGTTCTACTGTTAAACTGCACTTCGGATCGGATTGGATCGGATAGAGCAAAATACTTTAAAATACCGTCCGAGATGGTATATTGTAGGCCGATAGTGAGAAAAGACAAATAATTTATACTGCAATGATCATGGAAATGACATAGATTTCTAATTATTTTAGAATGCAAAGATAAAAGGAATCGATTTTACGCTCATCTCACTAACAGACAATAGCTGCATCTGGTTATTCTATTTAGCTAGCTGTTTTTTGGTTGTTCATAAGTCAGGTAGCTTAGTGGTTAAGAGCGTTGTGGCAGTAACCGAAAGGTCGCTGGTTCTAATCCAGAGCCGACTAGGTGAAAAATCTGTCGATGTGCCCTTGAGCAAGGCACTTAACCCTAATTGCTCCTGTAAGTCGCTCTGGATAAGAGCGTCTGCTAAATGTCAAATGTAATATATTCCTGCACTAGGTTACTTTTACCTTTTTGCAATGGAACACTTCAACCACTACAAACTGTGTGTACACATGGTCTAAAGTTTGTGGGAGGATATTTTTTATAAATGCCAACTTGGCGCACGCATGTTTTGGGACATATTTTATGCGTACACAATGTTTATAAATGAGGCCCCTGGGGAGTAGGAATTTCAACAAGCATACTTACTTAATTTACAGACTATCATGCCGACCACACTAAAAGTGCACGGTTAGGTTCGGCACCATAGTGTGAAGTTCAAGTAGAATTGACCTCTTAGAAAGAGACTGCAGCACTCCAATGTACGATCCAGTGGATCCTTACATATCATTGGATCAACTCCATTTAGTAACAGTGATTCCCACACTCCAATGACATCCTCCCATCTCTACACACTAGCCTATGCAGGATCATTATAATTAAGGAAACAGCGAGCGGAACGTTTGGTCACAAATGGTACCCTATTCCCTATATAGTGCACTACTTTTGACCAGAGCGCTGTGGGTAACCCTATGGGCCCTGGTCAAAAGTAGTGCACTTAGGGAGTAGGGTGCCATTTGCGACTCAGCCTGACTTCCTGGGCTTCAGTCAGAGCTTCATTCCCCACATCTAAGAGTTGGTGTCCGTTCACGTTATGCTCTTAGGTCTTCGTCCCCCGGGGGTTTATGGGTAAATGTACACGCGTGGTGATTGTTGGAGGGGGGAGAGAGACCCTGCCGCGCTTTAGTGCACGCCTGTCGAGTACTATAAAGAGAGGGATGGAGAGGTGGAGGGGAAGTTGAGAGATTCAGAGGTTTAAAAAAGGCACCACTGCACTGAACTATTAGCCTAGAACTCATAACCTAACCAGGGAAGAAAACTAGAAAAGGTACACAAGCCAACTTTAGATTGAGACAACATGACAGACTTAGCAGAGGTAGCATCAACATTTTTTATTTATTTTATTTAACTAGGCAAGTCAGTTAAGAACAAATTCTTATTTACAATGACGGCCTACCAAAAGGCAAAAGGCCTCCTGCGGGGACGGGGGCTGGGATTAAAAAAATAATATATATAAATATAGGACCAAACACACATCACAACAAGAGAGACACCACAACACTACATAAAGAGAGACCTAAGACACCAACATAGCATGGCAGCAACACACGACAACACAGCAAGGTAGAAACCCAACATGAAAACAACATGGTAGCAACACAACATGGCAGCAGCACAACATGGTAGCAGCACAAGACATGGTACAAACATTATTGGGCACAGACAACAGCACAAAGGGCAAGAAGGTAGAGACAACAATACATCACACGAAGCAGCCACAACTGTCAGTAAGAGTGTCCATGATTGAGTCTTTGAATGAAGAGATTCAATCATGGACAATCTTACTGACAGTTGTGGCAGCTTCGAGTGATGTATTGTTGACAGACTTTGCAAAGGTATCTTCAACATTAAGCTTTAAGGTAATCTTTAAGTGTCAATAGGAGATTGGGTATCAAAAACAGACACTATCCGAGTTGCCGTGTAGACACACACACATACACACACACACACACACATACATACACACGTACACACACACATACATATGGAGCCTAGATGGATGGTGATGATGTTTAGTAAGGAATTGAGAGTGAGGGTTTTAAACACTACCCATTAGATAATGTTGGCAGTGGGGGAGAGTGCAGGTCTCTCTCTCCATCTTGCCCTGTTCCAGAACACAGCAGAGCTGCTAATAGATGACAACTCATCCGGAACAACAAGGAACTAAGACACCCGGAGAGAGAGGAGACTGTAGGCCACACACACACACACACACACACAGGCACACAGGCACACACACACACGGTCTTCCTGCCGGTCTGCTACAGTGTAATCATGTAAATATGACACTTTATCCACAACTGGTATTACAGTGGTGCAAGAGTTCACTAACCAGGAAGTAACCTTTAACGTGATTGGTTTAATTTGACTATTGGTCAAATGGCAGTAATGGAGTACATTGAAAACAAACTCCAGCACACTGACGATCTTGATGCTCCACACACAGATTTAATCGATGGTTATACCAACCACTTCGGTCTCAATAGACCTCCATAAATAATAAACTATAACACAGGCTAAAGTCACACAGCGTTGGTCCAAATCATTACTATAACATAGGCTAAAGTCACACAGCGTTGGTCCAAATCATTACTATAACATAGGCTAAAGTCACACAGCGTTGGTCCAAATCATTACTATAACATAGGCTAAAGTCACACAGCGTTGGTCCAAATCATTACTATAACATAGGCTAAAGTCACACAGCGTTGGTCCAAATCATTACTATAACACAGGCTAAAGTCACACAGCATTGGTCCAAATCATTACTATAAACACAGGCTAAAGTCACACAGCGTTGGTCCAAATCATTACTATAACACAGGCTAAAGTCACACAGCGTTGGTCCAAATCATTACTATAACACAGGCTAAAGTCACACAGCGTTGGTCCAAATCATTACTATAACACAGGCTAAAGTTACACAGCGTTGGTCCAAATCATTCTCCTCCAAGATTCCCCCCTACATTGTAATCTTCACAGTACGACAGTAAATTGAATGATTTAATTTAATGTAATATTGACCAAGACTGGGAAGATTGAGACATGTAGTGAAAATTATATGATAAAAGTAAACCTAGGGATTTTAAATATCCCAAATGACTGTGTTAGTGCCAGTGGTCATACCGTAGCCTACCTCCCAAGGCTCCTGGACATTACGCAATCAGACCAAACAACGACATCACTTCCTGTTGGAGCCGAGACTCGAACTTTGGCAGTTACTTCAGCATCTATGCCTAACTATTGCATAACGTCATTTGAAGATCACGGAATGAAAAAATTTAATAGGTCAAAGTAATGCCATTAGTAAACCCATACAGGAAAATATCAAAACTTCTATTATGAACCTTCCTCTCTCGCCATCCCCCTCTACAGAAAACATGCCTCTCATTCCAGGAAGATTAGTCTAGGTTTCCTCTTTACTCAGGTTGGTTGTCATGCACTTGTAAGGCTAACGACACCTTGCTTTCACCGTCACTAATCTGACTGGAGATCAGAACAGCCCTAAAGCTTGTTCCACAGCGTCCGCAGTTGCCCTAACCCTCAGTCAGTCAGTCAGTCAGTCAGTCAGTGAGCGCAGTCAGTCAGTCAGTGAGCGCAGTCAGTCAGTCAGTCAGTCAGTCAGTCAGTCAGTCAGTGAGCGCAGTCAGTCAGTCAGTGAGCGCAATCAGTCAGTCAGTCAGTCAGTCAGTCAGTCAGTCAGTCAGTCAGGGTTTCGGGGTACAGCAGCTCCAGAAAGGGAGGCTGGGAATGCTCTTTCCCTGTTGGGGAACATTATATATCTATTCACAACTATATCTATTCATCCACTCTCTCCCTCCCCCTCTTCCTCCCTCCCTCTCCTCTCTTGTGCCTGGTCGAAACAGCATCAGCCGGAGGAATGGTGCAGTGTTCCTGTAGGATTAGCAGCTGGTTGGGTCACCTCCCTGTGTGTGTGTCTGTAGCTATTCCGTGGGCTATAATCACCCTCACACTGGTCAGTGCCAGCCACAGCTTATTCCATTCCGTCCTGTTGGAAGCTATTAAGACTGCTCAGCTCTTTCCTATTGGGGTATTCATTCATATTTTAAATACAACACATGGTCCTTTCTCCGATTAAACCATTGTTTAATGGATAAGCCATTCATATTTTTCAGCTTAGACTTTCCATGCGAGGCATCAAAGTTCACAGTAAAGGCACAATCAATACTTGTCATCACTGGCTGATTTACGTCAATGTTACCAGACTTTACAACAGTCATAGACATCTTTACATATGCTTGGTTACAACACCTGTACTTTCCCATAATTTCAACAAATCAGAAACGGAACAAAATTACCCAACGTGTTGATTACATTCAATGTAAACTACCTTTTCAATAAATCCATATCTCTGCTCACTGATACTTGCTGAGAAGTGCACAGCACAGCAGATCTATCTGATATGCACACCTTATCCTCATGGGAACAAATCTTGGTCAGGCCTTTGCTTTCCTCTGTATCACACCATGTCTACTGATATCAGACTGTACCTTGAAGCTCTGCATTTCAACACTCCCCTCGGCAGCTCCACTGCCTGTCTGAACTAAAACTCACCCTGAGCTCCTTCATTATTGACATGTCGGTAATCATGTCAATTCATCGTTAATGCGTCTCACAGCAATAGATCCTGGCTTCCCTATGACTGTGGTAACAATAGAATGATTAGATACTTAGACTCGATTTATATGGTGCCAACAGGCTCTGTCTAATCAGGAAGGCAGACGGCACCAAGGAATGAAAATGAAGAAACAGTCAGATGCTTCATAATACCCTGTGTCTTTCCATTCCTAGGACAGCACCTCGGTCTAGCTGAGAACGCTGTCAGAACAAAAGTGGTTGCCATAGGAATGAGTAGCGTGCTAGGTCACCCACAGACAAGGACGAGACGTTTCAGGAGAACGGTACCCTATCAGAATACAAACATCGCTGTATCTGTGGGGTCGGAAAGGAACAAGTGCTTCTACAGACTGTGTGTGTGTGTGTGCGCGTGTGTGAAATCGCACACCGTTTTAAGAGGCAGACAGTATTTGTTTGTGTGTGAATGCGACACTCTCTGACCGTTAAGGAGTGCGTGTGTGTGCACGTCACACCGTTTGCCCCCGGCGACATCATTAACGAGTGTGTTGACCCTGTTTATTTAGCCCTGTGCTGTGTAACAGTGACGAGTGTCCCGGCCACACACACACACACACACAATCAATCTGGTCTCTTAATAACGTCAGAGAGAGGTGCTGGATAGCTGCCAAACCAGCTACCTACAGAGCAGAACATTACAGTACAGAGCTTATAGCTAATATATGGATCAGACTGCAACTTTATACAATTCACCATACATGCAGATGGAATCCATGCCCCTAGGCAGGCTGATTAAAAACAATTGATGCTCAGTCAGTCTGTTAAAAACAATTGATGCTCAGTCAGTCTTATGTGATATGCTAATAAAGGACATCAATCTCATGTACAGGAGAGTCAATATTAAGTTATAGCTAACTACTACAACAGTACTGGTGCCAGGTAACCTAGCGGTTAAGAACATTGGCCAGCAACCTCGAATCCCCGAGCTGACTGAGTGAAAAATCTGTCGATGTGCCCTTGAGCAAGGTACTTAACCCTGATTGCTCTGGATAAGAGCATCTGCTAAATGACTCAAATGTCAAATGTACTGGAACATAGGTTAATTATGTAAAATCAGTAATAACATCCTGAACAACTTGTTTCAGTTCAAAACTTTTATCCAAATACCCAGGCTGAAATCAGACTGAAATATGCCCCCGAGTCAAGACAAAGTTAACATGTAAAGCTATCTACCTCCACACACACAACTCCATCATACAAAGTACTGTTGGTCCAGCCATGACTTACCCAGATATCCAGCCCCTCTGTAAGCTGAGAGAAAACACAGCCAGAATGGTGCTGCTTCTCCTTTTACACACTCCCTCTTTTTCCTAGCGCTCACTTAGCGCTCTCCCATGAACGCTCCCACACACACACACACACACACACACGCGCTGCTGCGCAGTTAATGTGGTGGTAGAGTTGTCCCCGCCATGTCCGATACTATCAGTGTTCTACTCATACTGCCGAGGTTCAGAGAGAGAGAGGGAACCACCCCTCCCCTTCGGTTCTGAAGCTCAGCTAGGCGGTGCTGCAGTAACTAACCCCACAGCCTCTCAGAGAGAGAGAGAGGGAGGGGGGAGTAGTGTGTTTGTGTGTGTAAGGCAGCCGTGGAATGTGTTTTCCCCCTTACCGTGAGCACCTCATGCCAGCAGCAGCAGCTCTCCTCGACTTGCTCCACGACACACACACACTTCCAGCACGTGCACACACACACCTCCTCCTAAAGCACACACACAGCCAGCCATGTTCAAGATCTAACTTAGAGTGGGAGGGGAGAGTTCAGTTATGTTGACACTGTTGGAGAGAAGTGTGTGTGTGTGTGAGTGAGTGAGTGAGTGAGTGAGTGAGTGAGTGAGTGAGTGAGTGAGAGAGAGAGAGAGAGAGAGAGAGAGAGAGAGAGCAGGTAACCACCCCCTCCCCCCTCCCAAAGTGGGAAGAGCCTGTTCCCACCAAGCCAAATCAGCATTCACTGTTGCTAAGCAGCCAAAGTCTCCCACCCTTATTTGCTGCAGCAGAAAGTAGCGCCAGGCTCTGGAGGGAAATGGAGGGAAGGGAAAATACAGCAGACAATTACAATATGTGACATGCTGATACACAGGGCTATTGACTGGCTAGTCCCGTGTAAATAGATGACAATATGTGACATGCTGATACACAGGGCTATTGACTGGCTAGTCCCGTGTAAATAGATGACAATATGTGACATGCTGATACACAGGGCTATTGACCGGCTAGTCCCGTTTAAATAGATGACAATATGTGACATGCTGATACACAGGGCTATTGACCGGCGAGTCCCGTGTAAATAGATGACAATATGTGACATGCTGATACACAGGGCTATTGACCGGCTAGTCCCGTGTAAATAGATGACAATATGTGACATGCTGATACACAGGGCTATTGACCAGCTAGTCCCATGTAAATAGATGACAATATGTGACATGCTGATGCACAGGGCTATTGACCAGCGAGTCCCGTGTAAATAGATGACAATATGTGACATGCCGATACACAGGGCTATTGACCAGCGAGTCCCGTGTAAATAGATGACAATATGTGACATGCCGATACACAGGGCTATTGACCAGCTAGTCCCGTGTAAATAGAGATTACACACATGCATGCGCCCACACACACACACACACAGACACACAGAGCTGCGTGAGACATGTTCATTGCCCTAACCCGCGCAGGCAGGCTCAGTGGAACCATCAGAACGCCATGGCGATATGAAGATGACAGGAGGACAGGAAGAGGTCATTCTCTCCAAAGAAGACAGAGAAAGACACAGCTCGGTATTCAGGAAAACATCTCTATCTCCATGACGACAGACTCACTTGATATCTCTAGAAATCTATTATTCCACGGTATCTTATGAGGACACACTGTTAGTGTCCTTACTGCATTACTGGAGCCAGCACAGCAACATTTCAATTTTAAAACAGTCTCTGTAAATTGGAATGACATTGAAATGGCAATCGATTGCATAACACACACACACACAGAAAACTCACAGAAAACACAAAAGGAAGGAGACCATGTAAATAAGCAGAGAGGATTTGTCCAAACAAAGAGCAACACACACCCAAGACTCATTCTTCCCAGTTCCCACACGGTGAGAAAATGTAGAGACTTTACACGAAAGGGAGCGAGAGACAGAGAAAGAGACAGAACGAGAGAGAGACAGATAAAGAAAGAGAGAGAGAGAGAGAGACAGAGAGAGAGACAGAGAGAGACAGAGAGAGACAGAGAGACAGAGAGACAGAGAGAGACAGAGAGACAGAGAGAGAGAGAGAGACAGAGAGACAGAGAGACAGAGAGAGAGAGAGAGAGAGAGAGAGAGAGAGAGAGAGAGAGAGAGAGACAGAGAGACAGAGAGAGAGAGAGAGAGAGAGACAGAGAGACAGAGAGAGAGAGAGACAGAGCGAGAGAGAGAGAGAGAGAGAGAGATGTTGGGTTCTCCCAATAGGTCAACATCACCCTACTGTATCTAACTAAACCATGAATGAACAAACACTAGATGTTTGACAAGAGCAAAGTTCCAATATCCGCCACACGTGTTGCAGCTTAGAACTGAAAATCTATCCAGAACTTTTCCACATCAAGAAGCACATAGGGCTGGGAAGGGAATTAGCCTACATGTCCTGTGAAGTTCAGGGGTAAGCTGGCTGCAGCTACAGACCAAGTGGTTTAAATTAATTCACACAAAGATCAAGGGATGGAAAGGTTAAAGGCCTGAAAACAGTAATAACTCAATCACATATTTATATGTGGAGAATGGCATCATCAACCAATCATTCCATGACTTATCTGATTAAATAATGAGTAAATAAATCAAAAGATTGACCGGAAGCAACTGCAAAAAACCAAACCATAATCACTACTTTCAGATACATTTTCTTCAAGTCCAGGCATGTTACAGCCGTGTGGAAAATAATCAGATTAATTTTGATTCAATTAATAAGGATGCTGAAGAATTCAAAGCCAAGCCAGCATTTCTTATGTTAAAGCTCAGTTAAGAGTTAAAGGCTATTGAATCACAAGATCAGAGGGAAAACACACACAAGCTGATTAGAGTAACTACACTGTGTAGGCGTATGAAGAAACGTAGAGGTAATGTTTGTTTGGTACGATATGAACGTTGAGGAAACGTTTCTCTGGGATGAGATAGCCTGGCTTCCTGGTGGCATGCAAACCCTCATATAACCTTTCACTTAGCTATGGAAATGACAGGCAGAGAGAGCAAGGATGTGTTTGTGTGTGTTTGTATGTGTGTGAAAATGACATGAACTTCCTTCTCATCAATAACTTCACACAGCTCTTTGAGAACTCTCCCCATCTTTGCATCTTTGGTTGACAACATTTCCCTGTAACTAAAATAGTTCTAGCACAGAAAGTTCTAGAACAGAAACCATTTGCAACATTCCAGTGTTGACCAGACTCAAAATACAAGTTCTAATCAATCCTTGTCTGACTGAGAACACAGTTAAGAGTGATAAGTGTCTTTACACCGATGACAGTGTGTGTGCTACATGGAGCCAGCTGTCACTGATAACACACAGATTTAGCCCTTTATCTCTCCTGGCTCCTCTCAAACACACACTGGTCTATGGGCTGGTCAACAGGACAAGGTCTATGGGCTGGTCAACAGGACAAGGTCTATGGGCTGGTCAACAGGACAAGGTCTAAGTACTTCAAGAGAAGACTACTATAAATATGCACTGATGGACTTAATGACCAAACCACATGTTTTGATGAAAGCAATGACTTGGGATGTGGTAGACTAAATGTGCTAAACAGGAGTACACAAATAAAATAAATAATGTATTTGAATCGGGACTGCAAAACATCACAGTCGGCTACTTGCCTAATCTTGTTTGAAATACATATTTCACTACTAGCACCACACACACAGTCAACTTATCATGGACCACCTAGCCTGCACTTACCCTCTCCGACAAGGGAACACATTTTTCCCAGGCTGCCACTGTCAGGCCACCAGAGCTCAGAACCTCTTTGAGGACTAAGGGTCCCTCAACCCGGGTGGTCATGATTTAGACCTTGGGAGGCCCCCTGCTCCACCAGGAGCTAAACGGAAGAAGTAGGTCAGTGTACTGTAACTATTTAGATCTGTGGCATCCAGTATATAAGGCATTCATACAGTATAGGCTTCACGGTTCACAAATGCATCATCTACCATTCACCACCAACCACACTGAGCCATTAGACCACGTCCTCAATTATGTGGCGGGTGTAAACATTTCAGCTAACTGCTCTTGACAAGCCACCCAGCAAGTGTTAGGCCTAGTGGTTAGAGGGGGTAATCCAGACAGCGTGGGGACATCTATTCCCTCTGGAGTAATTCAGAGTCCTCACATAGCTCAGCTGTTAGCTTTAACCAAGGCAGATCAGACTAAACAAATAGCTGGCAGGTAGGTAATCACAGGCCATCTCCCTCTCGACACCAGGGCTGCGTTCAAAAGAGCACAACGTTGTGGAACGTTCAGATAGAAATGTAGTATGAAGGACAAACATGCCTTTCTGGCATGTAGTATAAGGTATAAGGAATCACATCAACTCAAGTCATTTCTAGCCGTAAAGTTCCACGCCGTTTGCCTGCTGAACGTGCCCCAGCATTTCATCTTGTGTGCCTAGCCAACACATCCCTGCATACTAAGTAGTATGCAAGTTTAGTTTGGATATCGGAACGACATTACAGTCTTTGTCTGTGTGAATGAAACATGACCAAACTGAGTGAGTATCGGATGTCTCCGTGCTCTGCCACTGAGCAACGGAGTTGGAGAGAGCCCCCGCTACCCACCACCCAAACAGGCATGTTGAGTTTACACTGGACCTTTACACTGGAGTTTACACGTGATTGCGCCATATCAGGTTTTTATGAGACACCATTAACCTGCCAGTGAGACTGAACACTGAGGAAGAGGTCAAAGAAAGGCAGTAGCCATTTTGTGCCCCTCCATCTTAAACGGAATGGAATTAGACTCAGGTATTTTTCAGCAGCGGTGGTAGATTTAGCGGGGTGGGGTGGGGGTAGGGGGGGGGGGGGTGGGTCTTCCTGCGGGGGAGGGGGGGGGGGGGGGTCTTCCTGGGGCATACTTCTATATTATACAATTATGTTTTTAATGCATACAGGGGAAACACTGAAGGACCATTCATTTTGAGTGACCCTGGTACCATTCCTCGTCACAAACACCCACAATGCTGCGTTCACCACCAGGCGTAGCCTTCACGGCTCGGGTGGCTGCTTAGAATGCCTGACGGGTTAAGGACCCAAAATAGACCAGAGTGAGGGGATGGAGTCAACACAGACAGTGTGAGGAGGAGGAGTGATAACTCCCTGAATGGTAGAACTACAACAGACGAGCAGCTAATACATCATATCTATGGAGAGCTCCAGTCAACCTATCCTAAGGCTAGTAAACTATACAGTGAAGGAAAAAAGTATTTGATCCCCTGCTGATTTTGTACGTTTGCCCACTGACAAAGACATGATCAGTCTATAATTTTAATGGTAGGTTTATTTGAACAGTGAGAGACAGAATAACAACAACAAAATCCAGAAAAATGCATGTCAAAAATGTTATAAGTTGATTTGCATTTTAATGAGGGAAATAAGTATTTGACCCCTCTGCAAAACATGACTTAGTACTTGGTGGCAAAACCCTTGTTGGCAATCACAGAGGTCAGATGTTTCTTGTAGTTGGCCACCAGGTTTGCACACATCTCAGGAGGGATTTTGTCCCACTCCTCTTTGCAGATCTTCTCCAAGTCATTAAGGTTTCGAGGCTGATGTTTGGCAACTCAAACCTTCAGCTCCCTCCACAGATTTTCTATAGGATTAAGGTCTGGAGACTGGCTAGGCCACTCCAGGACCTTAATGAGCTTCTTCTTGAGCCACTCCTTTGTTGCCTTGGCCGTGTGTTTTGGGTCATTGTCATGCTGGAATACCCATCCACGACCCATTTTCAATGCCCTGACTGAGGGAAGGAGGTTCTCACCCAAGATTTGACGGTACATGGTCCAGTCCATCGTCCCTTTGATGCGGTGAAGTTGTCCTGTCCCCTTAGCAGAAAAACACCCCCAAAGCATAATGTTTTCACCTCCATGTTTGACGGTGGGGATGGTGTTCTTGGGGTCATAGGCAGCATTCCTCCTCCTTCAAACACGGCGAGTTGAGTTGATGGCAAAGAGCTCGATTTTGGTCTCATCTGACCACAACACTTTCACCCAGTTCTCCTCTGAATCATTCAGATGTTCATTGGCAAACTTCAGACGGGCCTGTATATGTGCTTTCTTGAGCAGGGGGACCTTGCGGGCGCAGCAGGATTTCAGTCCTTCACGGCGTAGTGTGTTACCAATTGTTTTCTTGGTGACTATGGTCCCAGCTGCCTTGAGATCATTGACAAGATCCTCCTGTGTAGTTCTGGGCTGATTCCTTACTGTTCTCATGATCATTGCAACTCCACGAGGTGAGATCTTGCATGGAGCCCCAGGCCGAGGGAGATTGACAGTTATTTTGTGTTTCTTCCATTTGCGAATAATCGCACCAACTGTTGTCACCTTCTCACCAAGCTGCTTGGCGATGGTCTTGTAGCCCATTCCAGCCTTGTGTAGGTCTACAATCTTGTCCCTGACATCCTTGGAGAGCTCTTTGGTCTTGGCCATGATGGAGAGTTTGGAATCTGATTGATTGATTGCTTCTGTGGACAGGTGTCTTTTATACAGGTAACAAACTGAGATTAGGAGCACTCCCTTTAAGAGTGTGCTCCTAATCTCAGCTCGTTACCTGTATAAAAGACACCTGGGAGCCAGAAATCTTTCTGATTGAGAGGGGGTCAAATACTTATTTCCCTCATTAAAATGCAAATCAATTTATAACATTTTTGACATGCGTTTTTCTGGATTTTTTTGTTGTTATTCTGTCTCTCACTGTTCAAATAAACTTACCATTAAACTTATAGACTGATCATTTCTTTGTCAGTGGGCAAACGTACAAAATCAGCAGGGGATCAAATACTTTTTTCCCCTCACTGTAACTCCTCTGTCTGAAAGCTTAGTGGTAAAAAGAGAAATAAGACAAAAAATGACAAACATAAATGACAGAAATTGCATTTTAATCAGAGTTACAGGTTGCTGGCTGTTTTGGTACAGTGGGTAAGACAATCTGATCTTTTAAGAGTAAAACAGTAAATAATATAACAATAGGAGAGGCTAGTCCTCCGTTAATGAAAAATCTAACTAGATTTAGCAGTTTAACTCTTTACATCGTGTTATAAATGTTTCAAATTATAGCTATGGTACAATTAAGAGATTAGGATTTGTTGTGGAGGGTAAATAAAGAATTGTATGGCTGGTAAGAGCTCTTAAGATACAATGATACCATCAATCAGACATGGTTATTACGTAACTCAACACGCCCAGACAAAGATAGATACGTTTGAATAAGGAGTGGCTATATTGGCCTTGCTTGTTGCAGTCTTGACAGTTGATTAAATTGCAATGCAATGCATAAGACACACATGTGGCCAAATGGCAACTACCCATATACACAGAGTAGGCCTACACCCTGTCCCTCCTTCTCGTCCCCCTTCACTCAGGTAGTCAATCAGAAGGCGATGTCATCACAGACAGCCTGCCCTTTCTCCACTGCAGAAAGAGAGCGAGCGAGAGAGTATTTAGTTTAACCTCCAGGGTTACCCTATAGTTTCCCCTATAGTCCCTCAGGCAGTGCCAAGAGGAGACATCGCCGCAGCGACAGCCAAGAGCGCTACCACACACACACACACCTCTGCTACTTCCTCTTCCTCCCAGTCCAAGCCATCGGTGTGATGCGATGGCATGGACATTATGTCATGATGTAATTCTTGTCTCAGCAGCCCAGAAGATGATGCCGTTATTGCAGGAATGCCCAGTCATGATGTATTGACCCTGTGATATACCCAGGCTTGGCATAACACACCTTTTACGTCAATATCTTCTCAAGGACAACTCCCACGCCACAGGCCACAATCTGGTTGCTCCCCACGAGACTTTCCTTTGAGAACATACACACATTCACACACACATCTCCATGCATACGCACACTCATCCTCATGCCTCACGAGTTACGCACACACACACACTGCACTTTTTTTCTACTGGTCGGGTGCCTAGGGCAGAGGACTCTGCCGTGCACAAAATGGGGCTTCTACTCTGGACAGAGCAGACCCGCCTCCTACGCCTCCGGAACCAATCAAGGGACTAGAAGAAGGACCCCTTCCTTTGTGTTGCATTGTATAAAGTAATGCTGAAAACTCTGTTTTTGATCCCTTTTCAACTGTCTCAATAAGAGGCAACTGAATGGGTCCATGCATGTAGCTTGAGCAGATACCAGCTATCTCTGTGTTTAATAAACTGCCTTTTGCTTAAACATATTCCTCTCCGTCTAGCGTCGTTGGTTCTGTACTTCCTCTCCTGTATGGTTTCACCAAATGCACAAACGTATTCACTGCCAAAGGAAGGGTACTTACTGACTGTACATAGTGAATGTTCAGGTAGCAGGTTAGAAGGTTCAATGTCAACATAGAGCTTTTTAATACCCTGGCTCCAAACACTAACCTACATCAAGCTGTACTAGCGTCCTGTCCAGAGGGTGTACTTGTACATCAAGCTGCCATCACGCTACTTAAACAGGTGCTAGACTAGCGTCATGTCTAGAGGGTGTACTTGTACATCAAGCTGCCTCAGGCTACTGAAACAGGAGCTAGACTAGCGTCATGTCCAGAGGGTGAACTTGAACATCAAGCTGCCTTACGCTACTTAAACAGGAGCTAGACTAGCGTCATGTCCAGAGGGTGAACTTGAACATCAAGCTGCCTTACGCTACTTAAACAGGAGCTAGACTAGCGTCATGTCTAGAGGGTGTACTTGTACATCAAGCTGACTCAGGCTACTGAAACAGGAGCTAGACTAGCGTCATGTCCAGAGGGTGTACTTGTACATCAAGCTGCCTCAGGCTACTTAAACACGAGGAGATATGCTCCTGCCCATAGGGCCGTTCTGGCTCAGACAAGGCTTACTTATCCAAGGCTTACTGAATTACTTTTGTATACTGTAAGTCAATAATCTATTCATTGACACTGGCAGCATATCGTAATGTAGATCTCCTGACAGGCCTAGATTCTCTAAGGCTATAGTAGAATAATATTTCCAGACATAACGTTAGTGTTTAACTCAAGACCATTATACTCTTAACATTTCACTATTTAATTAGGAGAGTGTTTGACATCTTGTGATCAAAGACTGGGGCATGGAATCACTTTAATTCACTAATGATGACAAAAGGGATACAGCCAAAGGGGGTAGACTGCTGAACAGGTGAGTAGACCTAGACACAGAGGATGAGCCGCTACACACACAACACAACAGACAACTGAGTTATTAGTGCACATCGTAGCAAAATATTGTAGCAAAACACATTCAATGCTGTATACTTATTGGACACGTTTCTTTTACAGAACCTATATTTGTTTCTACTCAGCTCCCTCGGACAATGGACCGCCACACTGCCTCAGACTGAACAAAACGTAGGCTACATCCACAGTAGGCTCCAAGAAAGCGTCTGCTATTCAAGACAAGCCATGATAAATAGAATTGAACCAAGTTAAACAGTAATAAACACACAGTAGCCCATGAACATTTCTATTTGTTTGGCACAAAAAAAACAAAAAAACGATTTCCTAACATTTGTTAACAAATAACAGACTTTTGTTTTCAACTGAAAGCTTCAACAGCATGCTAGGCAAAAGGGCAAAACTTACCAGAGACTCTACGACAAAACAGCGGCCAGAGAAATGCCAAAGTCATGCAATCCGTTCTCTGCACTATTCACCTGTGCAGACTATGGCGTCATTGTAACCTTTTTAACCTACGCGAAATTCAGATAAAAAACGCAGGAATTTATAGATTAGTAGGTGAAGTCCTACAGTCATTAGAAAAAGTTGATAAAAGCCAGCCAGGCATGTTGAACTGAAAAGTTGGTGTAGCAGCCTCTTATGGTGGTGGTATGCGTTATGCTATGCTGCAGGCAGAGGTCATTTCTCAATCTCTGCTGCCATCTAGTGGGCAAATACAATCCGTGTCAAATCAGCGCCATTGGTCAGAATACAGTATAGAACTGACTCGATTACAGATAATACAAGCATGGCTTTCCCCAAAAAATAAAATGCTGAAATAATATTGTTGGGATCTATTTTCTTATAACTAGATGTGATGACTAGCTTAGAAAGACTACATTAATGATTAAACATAATAGGTTTGTGCTGTACTGATATAGATTGTTTAACATAACAAGCTGTGATTAATGTGAGGAACCGTTAGGGGGTAGGCTGAGATAGATTTGTGTCTCACACACACACACACTGCCTCTTTGTTAAACTGCTCAAGGACATGTGTACTGCTACAATGAAGAAGTGCTGACTTTCTAGACAAGTTGTAAAGATAACAACTAATGCCCGGCAACAGGGATGCGCCAAGGGCCTGGGACTAGCCTGTGCGCCAACGATAGGTTGGGTAAGTTTAAATCACACCCAGCCTCTATTCTGACAGGCCCAGCAGGGAGCGGGAACTATCTCTGTCAGAGTATTTAAAGAAGAACTTATAACAATAGCTCAGTTCTCTGTCTGCCCTGCGTGGTGTTTCAGTGAGTCCGTATATACGAACATCATATTTACCATTCAAGTGTTTGCATTAATTAAAATACTAGTCTATTTTAGAAGACGTGTATTGACCTCTTTTTGTTCCTATACCAGATTTGAATTGACGCAACTTGACAATATAAATGTTGAACTATTCTATTGGGTTATTATCTCTGCATTGCAATTGAAGGGATAAAGTCCTAACCATCATACAAACATTTACATTTCATGGATCTAACCGTTGGATAAATTGTGCGTCTTTATCAGATTCTTGGAATATGTAAAAATGCTCTCTAGTCATTGGCACACATCCTTATCTTGTGAACCACTCAAACTTTAAAAGATATACCTAATCTAATCATACAATTTCCCCAATTCCTCAAAAATTCCCACCGATCACAGGCTAAGATGACATAATAGGCTGTAGTTCCATGTAATAACTTTATTTCTGAGTAGGTTCACATTCCAAGTGTATTGTGTGTAACACACATTGGGTATGTGCAGGGCTGGCTCCAGGCATAAGCAACATTAGCGGTAGGGCACCCAGTTTTTCTCTTGTTATGTCAGTCACTGACAGTCACTCAAATTAGCCATGTCAGCGAACAATTTTTAGATTAGTAAATTAGTCTAGCCAGCTATCTAAACTTGTAATAATCATGGCCGGCTTTGTGTGTGACTTCATCCACTTCCACATGAAAGCATGTGCTTCTCCCACAATGTCTGAAAGCACGTAAACAATCAACCTGATAGTAGAAGCAGGTCATGGCCAAACACACACATACATACGTAGGCATACACACGTACATGTGTACACACAGGAACAGGCTAATATTTGAATAATCTAATTATAAAGATTAAATAGGCAAAACGGAAAAATACACTGATACATTTCACATTTAAATCGGGCCATTCATCTCCAAATTTAAATGTATTCTTTAGAATACCTTTATACAAAAACAAAAATCGCCCTGGGATTTGAGCTGTCATTATTTATTTATTTTTTAATATTTTTTCAATTGTAACTGTAGTCCGGTCCGTGCTATCCGGGTTCCTTGGGCCGCCCCTGTAATATTCATATGTATAAACATACTGAATTGTAATTGGTTGCATTCTACCATATGGCGCTATGATTGGTTAAGACCACCCAGGTCGTGAGGTCATTTTCAGTTGATCATGGCCGAGACAAGTGAAGATTACCGTTATAACTAGCTAATAAAGAGCTACGTTTAGAAAGATCCTGTCGTACTGCATTTTATTATTTTGTACAAAGCATACAAAATAAGACAGTCCCTACCCCATTGAAGTTTACATTTAAAATGGTTAGGGTTATGGTTAGGGATGTCCCAAGGATCCCGAATAGCACTAGTCGCTGCCTGCTCCACTAGCTCATCGCTCAGTGATGTGCGCAGGCGCCGTTGGGAGGTAATAGACGAGTTCGAGAGGATCAAAATCGCAATGCATCATGGGTAAATGGTGACTGAACGATCTACAACAAAAATGAGTCGTTATTATGATGAATGGTGATTTGTAGATCAGTCAAACGGCAGTCGCCTGGAGTCGTTTTGATGCTCTCGAACACGGCCAATCTTTGCCAATATGATCCGTGTTGTTGGATTTCCACTAGATAGCACACCCACAAAGCTATATCGTAAAAATGAGCTTTTTGGTCTTAATTTAAGGTTAGGGTTAGGCATAAGGTTAGCAGTGTGGTTAAGGTTACGGCTAAGGTAAAGTTAAAAATCACATTCTAAGAAGATAAATTGTAGAAATAGGCGGGGTGTATGACTTTGTGGCTGTGGTAACTAGTGACGACCGAGTTGTCATAATCGGGAGTGGATTCAGGGTGATTCTCCTATCGTGTCGTACAGAATAGGATAGGGGGGGACCATGGCATACTTGCGAGGCGCCCCATCTAATATCCAACGCACAGAGAACATGAATCGTTCGCGATTTTTGTACTGAGCCAAGATACTCTATTTGTAAAAAAGAAAACCAGGACATCGGATTATTTCTACGCGCACGATTTTGATTGAAGCGGTCCATGATGGAGCACATCCGAACGCCAAAGGTAAACCAACCCTATATTTCCACTTCCATCCTATTCTTTGAGTGTAGGCTACATTATGCTCTTCGTATTGTCCTATTCCTAAATGAAATCGCATTTCAGTTGCGTCTTCTCAAGATGTGACAACGTTTCTGATTCGTGCCATCCCCCTTCTTATGTATCCAATGGCCCGTACATGGCCCGTACATTCAGGATTCCTGAAAATGTAACCATTATATTCTCCGCAATTTATTTTCCTGGTTAAAGTGTTGCAAAAAGAAACACAAAAAACATTGCTCACATTATGGCATGCCTATAAATCTTGACATTAGAATTTGCACAATCCGTTTCATTCTTGTCCTGGCTTCTTGACGTTTATTCTAGTCTGCCGGGGGCATTTCTCCTATGTGGTTTCTAGTATAAAGGCAATAGGCCTCAATAAGGACACATTGTTACAGACTCCTGCTGTAGGTTACTTCCATTAAACAGTTATAGTATTCCAGAATCTGACATTCATATCTACAATGACAACATGTGTAAACATTGAGTTCTAGAATGACCTTGGTTTTTTGAGATATGCCTCCACCAATACAGTCAGTCACACACTTCAGTACATTATAGCCTACAGATAGGATTACATTCCGTTTTGACCCCATTTATACTTGTGTGTGTGTTTTTGTGTCTGTGGCCCTATAGGTGGAGAATGTCCGCCTGATTGACCGTATGGCACCCAGGAAAGCCACGTTGGGGACGCTGTACCTCTCCGCCACACACACCATCTTCGTGGAGAACAACCCAGAGACACGCAGAGAGACTTGGGTAGGAACTAGGAAGTGAAACCAGTTGTTTCAACAGACCCCATTCTGACACAACACTTATCACAAGTCATCTGGCCTGACACTGTTCTGACACAATCCCACTATCTGCCCTGTGTGGCTTCCTTCCTGCCTTCTCAGAAAGATCCCATTGATTCGCTCTTGCACTTTGGAGACACTGGAATCACCTCAAATCAATGGACCGCATCCAATACATTTATTATTTAATGGATATCTCCTTCATACACATGATGTGAGATTTGTCGAGGTATTTAGGCCTACTGAAGTGAACAGGAGTGGAACCCTTTTCTCAGGGCCGGATTCCCGAACGGGCACAGAGCCCCCCCCCCCCCCTTTTATGGTTGGGGCCCCCCTGGAGGTCGGGGGCCCCCAGATAGCATATGATAGCAACATTTGTAGAATAACAGGACATTTGCTTTAAAATCTTCTAAATTGTCTCTCAGCCTCATGGAAAAATGTGTAGAATAGCAGGAAATGAGCTTTAAAACTGAAAAACAAATCCCCAGCCTCATGGCAAAATGTGAACAAAAGCATGATGAGCTAAAACTACACATCTTCTTCCCAGCCACATGCCAAAAAAGTGTCGAATTGCAGGAAATTTGCTTTAAAACTGCAACATGTTCTCTTAGCCTCATGACAGAATGTGTAGAATAGCATTATAAAACTGGACATTTCTCGCTCTGCACTTTGGCAAAATGTGTTGAAATGCAGGAAGTTAGCTGATTTCCCCCCCAAAATAAAAAATCTTACTATATACAGTGGGGAGAACAAGTATTTGATACACTGCCGATCTTGCAGGTTTTCCTACTTACAAAGCATGTAGAGGTCTGTAATTTTTATCATAGGTACACTTCAACTGTAAGAGACGGAATCTAAAACAAAAATCCAGAAAATCACATTGTATGATTTTTAAGTAATTAATTTGCATTTTATTGCATGACATAAGTATTTGATACATCAGAAAAGCAGAACTTAATATTTGGTACAGAAACCTTTGTTTGCAATTACAGAGATCATACATTTCCTGTAGATCTTGACCAGGTTTGCACACACTGCAGCAGGGATTTTGGCCCACTCCTCCATACAGACCTTCTCCAGATCCTTCAGGTTTCGGGGCTGTCGCTGGGCAATACGGACTTTCAGCTCCCTCCAAAGATTTTGTTATTGGGTTCAGGTCTGGAGACTGGCTAGGCCACTCCAGGACCATGAGATGCTTCTTACGGAGCCACTCCTTAGTTGCCCTGGCTGTATGTTTCGGGTCGTTGTCATGCTGGAAGACCCAGCCTTGACCCATCTTCAATGCTCTTACTGAGGGAAGGAGGTTGTTGGCCAAGATCTCGCGATACATGGCCCCATCCATCCTCCCCTCAATACGGTGCAGTCGTCCTGTCCCCTTTGCAGAAAAGCATCCCCAAAGAATGATGTTTCCACCTCCATGCTTCACGGTTGGGATGGTGTTCTTGGGGTTGTACTCATCCTTCTTCTTCCTCCAAACACGGCAAGTGGAGTTTAGACCAAAAAGCTCTATTTTTGTCTCATCAGACCACATGACCTTCTCCCATTCCTCCTCTGGATCATCCAGATGGTCATTGGCAAACTTCAGACGGGCCTGGACATGCGCTGGCTTGAGCAGGGGGACCTTGCATGCGCTGCAGGATTTTAATCCATGACGGCGTAGTGTGTTACTAATGGTTTTCTTTGAGACTGTGGTCCCAGCTCTCTTCAGGTCATTGACCAGGTCCTGCCGTGTAGTTCTCGGCTGATCCCTCACCTTCCTCATGATCATTGATGCCCCACGAGGTGAGATCATGCATGGAGCCCCAGACCGAGGGTGATTGACCATCATCTTGAACTTCTTCCATTTTCTAATAATTGCGCCAACAGTTGTTGCCTCGTATTATTTCGCTTGTTATGTGCCTTCTCACCAAGCTGCTTGCCTATTGTCCTGTAGCCCATCCCAGCCTTGTGCAGGTCTACAATTTTATCCCTGATGTCCTTACACAGCTCTCTGGTCTTGGCCATTGTGGAGAGGTTGGAGTCTGTTTGATTGAGTGTGTGGACAGGTGTCTTTTATACAGGTAACGAGTTCAAACAGGTGCAGTTAATATAGGTAATGAGTGGAGAACAGGAGGGCTTCTTAAAGAAAAACTAACAGGTCTGTGAGAGCCGGAATTCTTACTGGTTGGTAGGTGATCAAATACTTATGTCATGTAATAAAATGCAAATTAATTACTTAAAAATCATACAATGTGATTTTCTGGATTTTTGTTTTAGATTCCGTCTCTCACAGTTGAAGTGTACCTATGATAAAAATTACAGACCTCTACATGCTTTGTAAGTAGGAAAACCTGCAAAATCGGCATAGTTGTTCTCCCCACTGTATATATATATACTGCCAGTCAAAAGTTTGGACACACCTACTCATTCAAGGGTTTTTCTTTATTTTTTATTATTTTCTACATTGTAGAATAATAGTGAAGACATCAAAACTCTGACATAACACATGGAATCATGTAGTAACCAACAAAGTGTTAAACAAATCAAAATATATTTTAGATTCTTCAAAGTAGCCACCCTTTGCGTTGATGACAGCTTTGCATTACTTTAAGACATGAAGGTCAGTGCCCTGAGTCCCCAAATGCGGATCAATAATGGACAGCAGACATTATTACATCATTATTAGTTATTTAGTGTTATGATAAGCAATGCATTCAATAACTGTCAAATTCCATTTTTACTAAACTATAGTTATTTAGTGATTTGGTAAACTAGCCTACCCTTCCACTTCCAGAATTCAAATGTTTTCAACTTAGCAATAGATGTCACTGTGACAGCCGGCCCCCTTACCATTGGCCCTAACCCTTCGATGTTTGCAGATCTGAAGGATCTGGATAGGTATAAGCAGTGTAGTGGTAGAGCTTCCACCATATTGCCACCTTACAGATCTGCAAACGTCGAAGGGTTAGTTGGGGCCAAGGGGAGGGGAGCGAATTGGGACCGGCTGTGAGAGTTCTCGGTTGTCATTGCCAGGTGCTCCACAGCATGGTGGCCAGTGTGGAGCGGCCGCCCACCACCCCTTCAGGAAGCCACCTGGTCGTCCGCACTAAGAACTTCCAGGTGGTTCAGCTGCTCATCCCCCAGGAGAGGGACGCCATGGATGTCCAGGCCTCACTCGCACGCCTCTCCCGCCCAGGTGAGAGAGACTATCACCTCTTAGAACCCATTCACCTGGATCCTGTTCAGTTGGGAGAAAACCTTTTGAATTGGAATGGAACAAGGAGGTACTGCCAGCAGCATACCACCTGGCATCCCACTGCTGGCTTGCCTCTGAAGCTAAGCAGGGTTGGTCCTGAGTGGGAGACCAGGTGCTGCTGGAAGTGGTGTTGTAGACCCACTAGGAGGCACTCTTTCCTCTGGTAAAATAAATACATATATAAATATCCCAGGGCAGTGATTGGGGACATTGCGTGGTGTAGTGGTTAAATTAATCTGAGTTGTGTTGTGGTTAAATGAATCAGAATTGTGTTGTGGTTAAATTAATCTAAATCGTTTATTGTGTAGTAGTTAAATGAATCTGAATCATTTATTGGGTAGTGGTTAAATGAATCTGCATAATTTATTTGTAGTGTTTAAATGAATCTGAATCATGTATTTTGTAGTACTTAAATGAATCTGAATAATTTATTGTGTCGTGGTTAAATTCATCTGAATCATTTATTGTGTAGTGGTTAAACGAATCTGAATCATAGTATGATCCTTTGATAGACTGCTGTAGTGTTTCTCTGTTGTCCAAAAGAGATTTACGGCAAGCTCTACTCCTTGTCCTTCAATACAATCCCAACATGATTTTATCTGATTTATCAAATATGATCATTTGTTTAACCCAGAGAAATATAGCGAGCTCTACTGCTTGTCCATCAATCCCAACGCCAACAAGGAGGAGCGGGAAGAGTCCTGGAGGTTCCTAGACCTGCAGGCGGACTACAGACGCATGGGCGTGCCCAACAACCTCTGGGTCAGCACACCAGCCAACAGCGAGTACAGGGTTAGTAGTATTACACTCCTCTTCTGATTATAAACACTATAGTCCTAATCAGATAGTGAGGACAGGGTTAGCACAGTCCTCTTCTGATTATAAACACTATAGTCCTAATCAGATAGTGAGGACAGGGTTAGTAGTATTACCGTCCTCTTCTGATTATAAACACTATAGTCCTAATCAGATAGTGAGTACAGGGTTAGTAGTATTACCGTCCTCTTCTGATTATAAACACTATAGTCCTAATCAGATAGTGAGTACAGGGTTAGTAGTATTACCGTCCTCTTCTGATTTTAAACACTATAGTCCTAATCAGATAGTGAGGACAGGGTTAGTACAGTCCTCTTCTGATTTTTAAACACTATAGTCCTAATCAGATAGTGAGTACAGGGTTAGTAGTATTACCGTCCTCTTCTGATTTTAAACACTATAGTCCTAATCAGATAGTGAGGACAGGGTTAGTACAGTCCTCTTCTGATTTTAAACACTATAGTCCTAATCAGATAGTTAGTACAGTCCTCTTCTGATTTTAAACACTATAGTCCTAATCAGATAGTGAGTACAGGGTTAGTACAGTCCTCTTCTGATTTTAAACACTATAGTCCTAATCAGATAGTGAGTACAGGGTTAGTACAGTCCTCTTCAGATTTGTCTGGTTTTGATAGAGTATTGAGTTAGTTATAGTCCTTATCTGATGTTGAGTACTGGGTTTGTTCAGTCTGGGTCTGATGTTGACTACTGGGTTAGTAGCAGGGGTTGGAACTGCAATTATTTTCCAATCGTTTTGTTCTGAACAGAATCACACATTTTTTTTGTTTCATTCCACTGTTCCGACCAGCAAAATAAAAGTTCTGAACAGGTTCGAAACCAAAAAAAGTACCAGTTTATATAGTTCCTTTTTTAACCTGTGAAATCAACAGTTTTTTTTACATTTAGCTCATTCAATTACTTCACCAATCAGTGTGGATAGAGCAGGCAAGCTAGTTGTTTACATGCGTGATGGACAGACAAGTATAGCCTATGGCGCAACATGTGACTGACATTTTGCGGGTGGGGAGAGAGCGAGAGAGGGTTGAGGAGGAGGCTTGAAGCGCTGTGCATCTTGTTATGACATGCATTATCTGTATTAGGTCCACAGAATAGGAGGATCAGCTTCTATTGATGAACGTTGAATGTCCTTTGAGCTAGCTAGCTAACAAGCTTGTGTGTGCAGAGTGGCAACAGAATTAAAAACACGTCTTACCTTTTTGTAGTTAATAAATCCAACGTGAAATGTGATAACTAGGCCTATAGTATCCTTAACTAGCATTGAATAAGTTCATCCATTCTTCTCTAGCTAATTAAAAATCTCTCTCCCGATGTTCTGAATCACGCTTGTAACGTCAGTACAGTAGCCTATGCTTCGGAGGGGGGAGGGGCAGGGAGTCAAAGGCAACGTTTTTCAGTTTGCAGGCAGACACTGAAATACATTTCAGAGTGACAGAGTGAGGGCTTTGCATAGGCATTTTGTTGTGGGACTAGAAACAAATGCCTGGAACATAAAATAACGTTATTAACCGGTTCCCATGCTTTTAAAGTAACAATTCTGTTCCGGAACAGTTGGGTTCACTTTCGTTCCAGGTTCCGTTTCTGTTCCTTGACATTTTTTTTTGCTCTTTTCCGGTTTTCTGTTCTGTGCCGTGAACCAGTTCCAACTGCTGGTTAGTAAGATAGACCTCCTCTTCTAAAGACTCTTCCTCTCTCTGCCTGCAGGTGTGTGACACGTACCCATCAGAGCTGTTTGTGCCAAAGTCGGCCACACCTCCCGTCATCGTTGGGAGCTCTAAATTCCGGAGCCGAGGGCGTTTACCCGTCCTGACGTACTTCCACCAGGATACCCTAGTGAGTGGATGAGGCATACTATCTGGGTCAATGGTGTGGGTTGACTCTGGAGAACAGTTTTATGTTATTGTTTAATTTAGGTGATTCGTCATGTTTAATTCTTATATCTGAACCAGTCATTGGTCTGAATATTGTGTTTTCCGTTTTAACATTTCAAATGACTTTCATGACTGTTTAAATGTGAGCTTTTGCTTGGCATGCCAAGACACAGGTAGGATACTTGCACTGTACGAGTAGTATTAAACACCACCTCCTACTCTGAGTTGGATGTCATCACCGGTCACCTCAGCGTCTGACCTCTGCTCCCTGACCCCTTCTCTCCCAGGCTGCTATCTGCCGCTGCAGTCAGCCCCTGTCCGGCTTCAGTGCTCGCTCCCAGGAGGATGAACAAATGCTGCAGGCCATCATGAAGTCCAACCCGGGCAGTGACTACATCTACGTGGTGGACACAAGGCCAAAGGTCAGAGGTCACCATAGATAGACTCTGGGGTCAGGTAGTGTTGATATTTTTTTATTTTTTTTTATTTCACCTTTATTTAACCAGGTAAGCCAGTTGAGAACAGGTTCTCATTTACAACTGCGACCTGGCCAAGATAAAGCAAAGTAGTGCAATAAAAAACAACACAGAGTTACATATGGGGTAAAAAACATAAAGTCAGAAATACAACAGAAAATATATATACAGTGTGTGCAAATGTAGCATACTGTAAGGTCAATGGGGGAGTGATGGTAGATGAATGGCGTTTCCTTTTCCTTGAAGCCTCCTTGACTTGGGTGGACATCTGATCCATCCACCGTCCATGTGCTGGCTCTCAGACTGTAGTCTCTCTCCAGGCTTTGTCGATTAAAGCTGAATATCAATGGGCGGCAGGTAGCCTAGCGGTTCAAAAGCGTTGGGCCAGTAACCGAAAGGTCGCTGGTGCGAACCCCCGAGCCAACTAGGTGAAAAATCTGTCGATGTGCCCTTGAGCAAGACACTTAACCCTAATGGCTCCTGGAAGTCGCTCTGGATAAGAGCGCCTGCTAAATGACTAAAATGTAATGATGTCTTCAACAGTACGTATTTGACTGTATTGTGTTATAATGATGAATCATCTCTCTCCAGTTGAATGCGATGGCCAACCGGGCGGCTGGGAAAGGCTATGAGAATGAGGACCACTACACCAACGTCAAGCTGCAGTTCATCGGCATCGAGAACATCCATGTGATGAGGAACAGCCAGCAGAAGATCATTGACGGTAATGAGTTCCTCTTTCCCCTTCTTTTCCAACCATGGGGCGACGTTCTGCTAAACATGTCTTGTATGACATTCACATTCAGTATTCCTACTCAGTTCATGCTCAAAGTTGTCCAGATTCATGCATTCCTTTGGGTTGGTTTGTGAATGTCCCACATGTACAGTACCAGTCAAAAAGTTGGACACACCTACTCATTCAAGGGTTTTTCTTTATTTTTTACATTGTAGAATAATAGTGAAGACATCAAAACTATTAAATAACACATATGGAATCATGTAGTAACCCAAAAAGTGTTAAACAAATCAAAATATATTTTACATTTAGATTCTTCAAAGTAGCCACCCTTTGCCTAAATGACAGTGTTGCACACTCTTAGCATTCTCTCAACCAGCTTCACCTGGAATATTTTTCCAACAGTCTTGAAGGAGTTCCCACATATGCTGAGCACTTGTTGGCTGCTTTTTCTTCATTCTGCGGTCCAACTCATCCCGAACCATCTCAATTGGGTTGAGGTCGGTTGATTGTGGAGGCCAGGTCATTTGATGCAGCACTCCATCGCTCTCCTTCTTGGTCAAATAGCCCCTGCACAGCCTGGAGGTGTGTTGGGTCATTGTCCTGTTGAAAAAGAAATGATAGTCCCACTAAGCGCAAACCAGATGGGATGGCGTATCGCTGCAGAATGCTGTGGTAGCCATGCTGGTTAACTGTGCCTTGAATTACAGCAAAGCACCCCCACACCATCACACCTCCTCCTCCATGCTTCACAGTGGGAACCACACATGCGGAGATCATCCGTTCACCTACTCTGCGTCTCACAAAGACACGGCGGTTGGAACCAAAAATCACAAATTTGGACTCATCAGACCAAAGGACAGATTTCCACCGGTCTAATGTCCATTGCTCGTGTTTCTTGGCCCAAGCAAGTCTTTTCTTATTATTGCTGTCCTTTAGTAGTGGTTTCTTTTCAGCAATTCGACCATGAAGGCCTGATTCATACAGTCTCCTCTGAACAGTTGATGTTGAGATGTGTCTGTTACTTGAACTCTGTGAAGCATTTATTTGGGTTGCAATTCCTGAGGCTGGTAACTCTAATTAACGTATCCTCTGCAGCAGAGGTAACTCTGGGTCTTCCTTTCCTGTGGTGGTCCTGTGGTGGTCCTCATAGCGCTTGATGGTTTTTGTGACTGCACTTGAAGAAACTTTCAAAGTTCTTGACATTTTCCAGATTGACTGACCTTCATGTCTTAAAGTAATGATGGACTGTCGTTTCTCTTTGCTTATTTGAGCTGTGCTTGCCATAATATGGACTTGGTCTTTTACCAAATAGGGCTATCTTCTGGATACCACTCCTACCTTGTCACAACACAACTGATTGGCTCAAACGCATTGACAAGGAAAGAAATTCCACAAATTAACTTTTAACAAGGCACACCTGTTAATTGAAATGCATTCCAGGTGACTACCTCATGAAGCTGGTTGAGAGAATGCCAAGAGTGTGCAAAGCTGTCATCAAGGCAAAGGGTGGCTACTTTGAAGAACCTTAAATATAAAATATATTTTGATTTGTTTAACACTTTTTTTGGTTACTACATGATTCCATATGTGTTATTTCATAGTTTTGATGTCTTCACTATTATTATACAATGTAGAAAATAGGACAAATAAAGAAAAACCCTGGAATGAGTAGGTGTGTCCAAACCTTTGACTGATATTGTATGTGTGTGTGTTTTAAGATGTGTGTATGCATGACTGACTGCCCTCTCTTCCTGTGTTGACCCTATAGTGGGCGAGCTCAAGACGCCCTCCATGGGCGACTTCCTGTGGGGGCTGGAGAGCTCTGGTTGGTTGAAGCACATCAAAGCCGTGCTGGACACAGGCGTCTTCATCGCCAAGGTGATACACACGGGGCAGGGAGCGCGAGCACACACACACACACACACACACACACATATACAATGGGTATCAATTACATCCTATGCTGTCTTTCATACTGTGATCTGTGTGTAGGCGGTGGCGGAGGAGGGTATCAGTGTGGTGGTCCACTGTTCGGACGGTTGGGACAGGACAGCCCAAGCCTGTTCTGTAGCCAGTGTACTCCTGGACCCTTACTACAGGACTATGAAGGGACTCATGGTAAGGCTTTATCTTCCGTTCATCACACACTATCTGCAGTCTACGTAATGGCACATACAGACCTGTCTGTCTTCTACTGTGATCCAATCCAGATAAATAGTTAGCATACGTGGGGCCAGTTTTCCGGACCGTGGAGTCTCCATGAAGTATGCGTTTTAGTCCTGGACTAGACATCATCTGTATCTAGAAAGATAGAATATCTTCCTCCTGTCTCCTGTCTTGTAGCTGCTGATCGAGAGGGACTGGGTGTCGTTCGGCCACAAGTTCTCACACAGGTCAGTAGTCCGTCCCACACGTTTGTCTTAGAACCCAATTCCTAACTCTACTGTTTTGTAGAATGAAGATCCCTGCAGTGCCATGCATTTCACCTTCTCAAGTAGAGTCCTTCATCAGAAAGAGAAGTGCATTTGTCACAGATATCATACGGCGTGTCCAACCTACGCACCGTGTCCGCCACGAGCGCTTTCAGATCCTCTCACCATGTGTCCGCCATGTGTGCTGCACTCAGGTCAGATCATAACCCCTGTGAAATTCAGCCACTTTAGCAGCGACTGTCTGTCTCAGATTTCAGTTAGGATTGGTGAAGAGTTATTTCACGTCTTTGAGGTGTTCCACTCCAGTCTTTGCATGCTCTCTTATCAGTTGAAGCCATTGGCTAGATTAAAAAGATAACTGACCTTGATTCAGTTGCCTAGAGGCATTACTGTTTAACCAGTGGGTCATAAAATTGCCATGACAACTCCCCAGGATTACCTATTAGTTGTTTAAATCTGTTTAAAGGGGCAATCAGCAGTTGCTACATCCATTTTTGGACTTTGATATGTACCCATTGATTCTTTAAGAATATAACTTATAAATGCTTCTTAAACTTAGTTCAACTGTCGTACCCCATCATAATTCAAAATATAAGCTTGTTTTACTTCAATGTTTGTAAACAAAGAAAATGTAAACAAACATTATATAGCCTCAAAACATGGTTCAAACTATAATTTTGATATCATGGATGGTCACTCCTTTGCATACATAGCCCTGTCTATGAATTTGAGAGGGGTTACAACCCTCAGCTTTTCACCAAACCAGGGGCAGGGAGTCCGTTTTGTTATTGTTTCTACTGCTGATTGCCCCTTTAAACTCCTTATGAACGTGTTATAAACTGCAGTCTTTCCGTCTCTGCAGGTACAACCATCTGGAAGGTGATCCTAAGGAGGTGTCCCCGGTGATAGACCAGTTCCTGGAGTCTGTGTGGCAGCTGTCAGAGCAGTTCCCCTGTGCCTTTGAGTTCAACGAGCGCTTCCTGGTCCAGCTGCACAGACACGTCTACTCCTGCCAGTACGGCAACTTCCTGGGCAACAGCCAGAAGGAGAGGAGGGACATGGGGTGAGACTGAGGGTGCCAATGTGATGGAGGTAGTTCAGTGAACCATGCTTGTGTTACACGAGTAACCTTGCCTGAGGCGTGAATACTTGTGTTAGCTCAGCGGGCTAACAACCTTGTGGTTCATAAGGCCGCTACAAACCTATTCCATGCAGGTCTCTGCCTTTCCTATAGCAAGCTCTTCTGTACTGTAACTCCCCTCTCATGTATCACATCTGTTGTGGTTTTCTCCATCGATGGTCAGGCTCCGTGAGAGGACTCACTCCCTGTGGCCCCAGCTCTGGAAGGACAGAGCACAGTACGCCAACCCCCTGTACAGGGCCGACCACACCCAGACTCAGGGGATGCTACGGCCCAACACCACCCCGTACTGCTTCAAGTGAGTTACTGCACCCTCTAATAGTCCAATAGTCAAAAAGATAGAAGGACTGGGACACCGGATGGTTTTGATTTACTTTGTGTCTTTGGGTACATCTGAGCCGAAGGGTTGTGGGTTAAAACCGTAAAATCCATCAGATATGGTATGGTTTATATCCAGTGTTTGTTCAATAGTTGTAGAACGGTTTAAATCCAGAGTGTTTGTTCAATAGGGCGGCATGTAGCTTAGTGGTTAAGAGCATTGTGCCAGTAGCCGAAAGGTTGCTGGTTCTAATCCCTGAGCCGACTAGGTGAAAAATCTGTCTGTGTCCTTGAGCCAGGCACTTAACCCTAATTGCTCCTGTAAGTCGCTCTGGATAAGAGCATCTGCTAAATGACAAAAAAAAAAATGTTTTAGTACGGTTTAGATCCAGAGTGTTTGTTCAATAGTTGTAGTACGGTGTATCTTGTCTCCAAGGATGTGGAAGGGCATGTATAACCGTGTGGAGAAGAGCGCACCCCCGCGCCAGACGCCCGTCGACTTACTGACAGTCGTGAGGGAGGAGACTCAGCAGCTGGAGGAGGAGCTGACCAATCACCAGGAGGTAGCACCGGGAGGGACGGCCCACCCGGGCACCAAACAAGGCATACAGACACGCTCGCGTAACGCTCCCAATGAACGCTGCTCTTTAAGGCGAATTTACACGTTTATCAATGTATTATTATAATTATTTATTATTATAATTATCATTATGCATTATTATTAACTCATTTGTGCTGTTTTAACAAATATATCGTTGGGTTTTACAGGGGAGGGGGCAAACACCATCAAGTCAAAGATAAGTTGAAGAGAATGTGTCTCAAAGAGGGGCGTTCAACAGGAGGGTTTCCGTTACATGTACAGTAGTCTGCTTGTAGTCTATAGACATAGTGATTTATTCCTATTCTATCCCAGACTTACTGGTAAAATGTGTATTATTCTTCCAGAGGATTGCAGCCCTGATGAAGGGGGATCAAACTAAGGGGAACACGGGTCAGAGGAAGACCAACAAAGTGTATGAGGAAGAGTGCAGGCCAGGTGGTCCTCCCACTGGAGATGGCCCCGTCAGCAGCCCCCCTCAGGACTATTGTCCCTCCCGGAGGGGGCCCCCGGGCCCGGCTATGACCCTGCCCCTGGGCCCCCCCAAGGGCCCTGACCCCGACGACCTCTCCTCGGCTTGCAGCGACATGGAATCGGGCGTGGCCGACCTCAGCAGCCGCTCCTCCAGTGGCGGCGACGACAGCAGGGACCCCGACGAGGCCGTCTACTGCGCGACCTGAGCGAAAATGGCAATCAATGATGGGTTGAAGAGGGGCTTGTCGGGGGGTTGCCTTGTTGACTAGGGCACTTTGCATTGACAATTGAATATCAGAGGTTTCTGTTTTGATGGGGCCAATTTGACTGGATTTTACTTGGGATTATTTTGTTTTCTGTGTAGTTAGTATCGGAGCACAATGTGAGAGCCTTCCGGGTATTGTGGTAACACTGGGTAGCCATAGTGGATGTATGAATACTAGTGCAAAATGTGAACAAAAATATTCCAGGACCAAACGTTTACAGCAAAAATATTTTGTCTTAAGCTATTATGTTTTGAGTTACGATGTACTGTACATCATTTTAAATCAGGAACAAATTGTTTTACATTTGTTTGTACAGTAGTAGGACTACCCCTTGATAACCAAACTATCAGAAGCATCCGAAATCCATTTGTCCATTCTGTAGTCTGAACAAGCATATAGGCTACAATGTTTCCCAGTATACCATGGTCGTAATTCAGGAGGCAAAAAAACTGAACAAAACGGTCAGAAATGCTGTTGCAAAACGTTTCACTACGTTCTGCACTAATTAACACAACCCAGATAACACGGTCAAACATGGCACATGTTTTTGGAACATTATCACCACCCAATCTAGTTTTATGTTTACTGTCTCGTTCCGATAACCTGCCTTCTCACACAAATGAAGAAACACTGCACTTCTCAACTAGCCTGGATGAACAGAGATGTCAGTGTTGCCATGACTAGGCTTTTATTTGGTCTTGAAATAAAATGAAAGTTGCTGCTTATTAGTAATGAATCGAGAGATATACTCTTTCCTTTGGAAAGCCCATTGAACGATGGTAACTTTTTTGGATGGTTATTCCCATTGATGTGTATATTTAACTGTGTATACGAGTGCATTCACTAGCGCTGTAGTATGTACACTTAGGATACATTAGAAACTTTGTTCCAATCTCAACACCAGCGCACCACTTAGAATGCATGGCCAACACATTGGTTCAATCTGAATGGTATGTGGTTGTGGATATTGTAGCATTAGTTAGCCTGAGTGCCATTCTGTTTCTGCCCGCTTGCCAACTGCCTATAGACGGGTTAGCTGACAACCGCACGAAAACGAGGCGCGCGCTTCAAAGGGGCAGAAAGCCGTGTGTTGTATGGTTCTGGATGGCCAGATAGCTAGCAACAATGACAATAAACTGCCATGTGGGGGATCATAGGTGGCTCGTTTCAGCTTGTTCTTGATACCATGTCTTGTTTTGAGGCGACTGATGTCACATCTATGCTAATGTGGCTAAAATTTGCTTGCTAGCTAACCAACAACTGTAACAATGTATTTGCGAGACAAGTACTCATTGTGGAACTTGATTTATGTTTTCACTAGACATTGGCTGAACTATAGTTTACATGTTATCAACAATCTAAGCCAACCCCATCTATTTTGCCCCATAGTTGCGCACGCATCGGTTTTGTTGCTAAACAACCAACCTGTCTATGAAATTGTCATGGCTTGACAATGAGCAATGGAGTTAGCAAGAGCACAAACAGATCTGGGACCAGGCTAAGTATTAGTTAGACTGTTGAGAAACCCACGAGCGTCTGCTAAATGACTAAAATGTCATGTAAAATGTATGGTCAACCTAGGAAAACAACATGGCTAAATCCAATGGATATCCTTTCCACTTTCGTATTTAGTGTTTCCTGCATATGTTGTTGTAAATGACCTGTTGAAATAAACTCCACTCACTGTCAAAGGGAAATGACATTTGATGGTTTGGTACTTTTTACCCCTTTTACTCCCCAATTTCGTGATATCCAATTGGTAGTTACAGTCTTGTCCCAACTCATCTGCCTCATGGGACCGGCTGCAACACAGCCTGGGATCGAACCCGGGTCTGTAGTGACGCCTCTAGCACCGCCATGCAGTGCCTTAGACCGCTGCACCACTCTTACCTTCTTTTACAAACTGAATAGAGTGTACATGAGGTTATGAACATGACTGTGCATTTCAGTCACACTGAAATGCAGTACAAACACATACACCCACAAGCTCTCACACATGCTGGTCAGATGTTATGGTTATAAAAAATATATATCTTAGTAAACAAGTGTGTGTTGCTTACAAGCTGAAGGAATCCTTCAAAATCTCTCCGTCTACAAGCAGCTTATTCTAAATGGTTTATTAACCTAAAGAAATTAAATAACATAGTACAAGGTGTCTGATTATAATAAAGCCTATTATTAACATTATTTAAATACAGTATCCATCGTAGTTGGGTGTTCGGCAGCGTTAGCAAACTCATCATCCAAATTCAAGTATGTATGTATGTATATATATATGAGACCAGTCGCAAACCATCATCATCATCATCACTGGAAACTGTATACTGAAATGAGTTCAAAAGCCTAGTTCAGGGTTACAATTCAATAATGGTTGCTTCTTTAAGTCTATCAACACCAAGATGTGCTTCTCCTCTCTTTAGGGGCGTCTTGCTGGTAGATAAAACTTCATACCTGAGAAGAGAAGATTAGGTGTCAAAATAAAATAATATGATCAAGAAAGACAAAAATGGAACATGGTTAAACCCATCATTGATCTCAAGTATAGTCAGTCCTTGCATCCATAGCTCCGTGTATGAATATGAGAGTGGTTACATTTCTACAGTTGTTTACCAAAACATAGATTTGTAGATGTTTGAATCCCAGATTTACCCTTTAAGATCAGGTTTCATAAATCCATTCATACAGTATGTACTTCAACCAACAGAGTGGTGTTAGTGTGTTTACCTTTTAGAAATGTGTGTGAGGGGAAGGGGGGCGGGGCTTAGTGGCTGCTAGGGAACTGTCCATGTGTGTTGATGGACTGCTGCAGCTTCTCCTCTTTGGCCCTTCTGCTGTGGCAAAGCTGTACAGCGAGAACACACACACACCAAGTCATGAGTCACATCACCAGTCCCAATATGAAATCAAACATTGACTACTGTGTAACAGACTGTATTCCCATTGAATCCCAGTTCCTGGTTGTTGACTTGTTGTCGCAGTACACCGTGTTCATATTACCACAGAGATGTTCACACAGTGTCTCCATACACAAAAGCTCAATGCTTCCCGGCTCTTTTTTTCGTGGACTATGTCATGACCGTTTTCTTCTAACTCTGCTAGTTCAGTTACTGTTGAAAGAAAGACAGATATCCATCCGCACAATGTAGAACACTACCACAGTTTTATTGTGCAACGTTTTGACAACGAAAACATGTGTTGAAACGTTGAACAATACATTTGTCGTAGAATTCTGCAGTGTGCTGGTATCAGTCTTTCTTTCATCACTTTTTGTCAGTTAGTTCCGTTTACCGTCCTCTTCTCCATGAAGTTGGCCAGGAAGTCGTCGATGTCCGTCTTGCCCTCTAGGAAGCTCTCGGCCGTCTCCTCCGATTCCTCCTCCGCCTGGTGGGCTGCCACCTTCAGACGAGCCTGCAGGGCACTCAGACTGCAGCTCTGGAGAACAAGACAATTTCATAGGATAACACTTAAAAAGCAATGCTTTTTTAATGTTTTCAAACCTCAAAATGTGTCTGATGTCAAGCCAAATCCACACCTCACAACATAAGTTGTGTTGTGAATAATCTGTATATATTTCAACCCCAAAAACATGGAAAAGATGAGCACCGAATTAAACAACTCATGGCCTGGTGCATGGACTTGTCAATATTGATCTACTTTTGAGGTTTGAAAACCTCTGATCATCACGTGTGTGTTTAGTGCAGGGAACACCTTACCTCACTGATGTCGTGTTGTCTCTGCATCTTGGTCTCAAAGGCCGATTTGTTCTGGGTTAGCTGCTCGTACTGTCAACACAACAAGTGGAACGGTAAGAACTAGTGGTTACAACACAATATACCATCTATTGCAATCTATAGCAGTAGGACTGATCCCGATTCACATTTCAACTTGGGTCAATGGTATAAGGTGGTATCAACTATAACGTTAGTAATAAACTGACAGTTGTCATGAGACGTTCATACAGGTAGAGTCCTATAGCTAACGTATATTGACAGACAGACCCTCTGCGTTCATTAAGAGCCAGTGAGCGTGTATTATTCCGGGTCCCTCACCTTGAACAGCATTTCTTGTCTCCTCCCCTCCAGTTGAGGTTCCAGCTGCAGGTTCTTCTCTGGGAGAGAGATGACCAAGACATGTCAGTGTGTGTCCTAGGGCAGCAGTGAACCCAGCTACAAAACTTTCCCATGTTCTACTACACACTTATTTCACTACCTGCCCATATTAAATGACTGAGGATCTGTGTAACCATAGTGATTATGAGCTTGACACCAAAAGTGGCCCTGGACCAGTAACTTGTTTGATTCCTTTTGGGCTCTGGGGATAGTTTGTGATTTTGGCAATGAAGCCCTTCATCTCCTTAACCAATCAGATGAACTCATGGATAAAAATGGTATGTCTCTGTCTGTGTGCAGTTTGAAGGGAGTTTTAGGTCGTTTCTGGCGCCATTGCTAACTAGCGTTAGCATAATGACTGGAAGCTCATAATAGCTGTGGTCGTTGCTCTAGCATTTGTTTGTGTGTGTACATGGTGGGTCACAAGAAAGCACTAAAGGCTTTGGCTATACAGGGCGTCACTCACTACCCAGTCAGGTTTAGAAACCACCAGTGAGACTCACTGGCCATGTCCACGATGCTGTCGACCAGCTCCTCCTTGTCAGTGGTGACCTGTTTGAGCTGGGGCAGGCACACAAACAACTCCAGCAGCACGTCCTCCTGCTCACTCATGTCCTTCAGCTGGGACACACTGGGGACAACACACACAGTCAGTCAGAGAGGGATATGGTGGGACATGGGAGAGAGAGAAAGGAAAGCGCTAAAATGTAGGTTGATGTGGGATTAAGTGATGGGAACCCACACGTGAAGGTTCAGAATTGGAATACAATATAACTTTATTGTCCACCCAAGATTGAATATCCCAGATTGATCATTGGCTGTCAATTACGTACATGCCTATCAGTGAAAGTTGGTGGGAGGAGCTATAGGAGGACGGGCTCATTGTAATGGCTGGAATGGAATTTATGGAACGAAGTCAAACGTGGTTTCCATATGTTTGATACCGATCCATTGACTCCATTCCAGCCATTACAATGAGCCCGTCCTCCTATAGCTCCTCCCACCAGCCTCCACTGACACCTATATACATATCATTATACCTCAACATTTCTTTGAGTCGTGTCCTCATACGTTACATTTGGACTCCACGGCCCAAAAAGTGGCCGACGTATTAAACGCCAGTGGCAGAATGCACATACCTCATTTCAGACAGCTCAGGAAATGTTTCAGGAATCTCAGGCATCTTGTACATGTGGCCGTTCAACCCAGCCTGTTGCAGACAGAGCGATATCACGTCTTATGTAGCTAACCAACACATAAAACAAGTAGCTAAGCACTTGACAATCACAGCAGTACTCTAATACAGGAGCTCTAGTCCGCAGGTGGCTCTGACAGGCCTCAGTGCCTGGCAACCGTTGTTAGGGTATTGTGCGCTTAGGGCTGGCGGTGAGGTGTTTTTTAAATAAAGTACAATATATAATAATATAATACAAATATAATAGATGCCCCCAATGATTCTAACTAGAAGAACAGGTCCGTCTGTGGGTAATTGTCTGTCCTGATTAAACATTGCTACATTAAACATCTTGAGGCGTCTAAACTGCATGCCAAGTAGTCTCCTTAACTTATACATACATTTAGGTATTATGTCGGTATTAGCCAGATATCTACTGGATAAACTAAACTTCAATGAACCTGTGGTAGTGCGTTTACCTGGGAGTCTGCGGTGGGTACGGGGAGAGGCAGGTCAGTGATGAGGCCGTAGGCAGGGGCTGCTGCCCAGGGAGGGCTGTGAACGTGAGCACCCTCTACACCCACGTGGGGCGGGGTGGGGCCCACGAGGCGCGGCCCGTAGTGGAAGCCCTGTGTGGGGTAGGGAGGCATCCCCGACGGCTTGAACATGTTACTGCACCACAGAGAGAGAGAGAGAGAGAGCATAGAGGAAAGATGGGAGAAACAGAAAGCTGATGAGAATGGGCTCCCTTTGTGAAGAAAATGTCCTCAGTTAAATAACACTAGTCACTGAGCTGGTCTTTCTGACTCCTTGTATCCTTCACTGTAAAGCTATGGCAGTTATTATGGCTGTCTCTCATGGGACTTTTTACACCTTTTGATCGTCCTTTCATAGTGTATTACATGCAACCCAAAGAATTTGCCTTCAAGGGCCAACAAAGGATTACATGATGGCATGGTGTGTGTGTGCTACTGACTAAGGGAAGCCGGTGGGGCCAGACGTCAGGACAGGTGGACTCTTCCAGAACTCATCCAGGAGACTCTGGATGACTTTGCCCAGATCTGAGTGCATTCCAAACTGAGAACAAATTAACATAGGCCTGTTAGCTTCATGACAAACACATGAATACCAGATCTTTGCATCCATGTCAACACCTACCCTTATACAGACAATGAACTAGTAAGAAAACAAGTATGAATACCTAGAGAAAAACATAAGATGGTTACCCTTCGGATCACCACAGATTTTGCTTCCCATGTCCCTCGTACTGCTGGAGTAGACCTAAATAACATCATATCTAGTTGAGATGGACTTACATTAGTAATGAGGGGGCTGGTAACCATGGTGCCATTGTTGCTGTCTACCAGGTGATGTCCTACTGGAGGGTACACGCTGACTGCTGGCTTCTCCTGGGGAAACTGAGGTGGAAGCAAGCTGCAGAGAAAGAGAAGTGGGGAGAGAGAGGGGGGGGGGGGGGGAGAGAGGGGGGGGGGGGAGAGAGAGGGGGGGGGGGGGAGAGAGGGGGGGGGGGGGGAGAGAGGGGGGGGGGAGAGAGAGGGGGGGGGGGAGAGAGAGGGGGAGGGAGGAGGGGGGATGGGGAGATGGGGGGGGGGGGGAGAAAGACAGAGAGCAAGAGGTAACTGAAAGTGATAGTAGCCATTGAGTTCAGAGGGTTTGAGCCCTATTGATCATGCAATAAATAATCAACAAGTCAGACATAGCCAGGTAAATGGAAGATTAACCTAGCTGTACTGTAAACCAATGGCAGGATGAGCTATTGGGGTTTACACACACTTTGACACTGATAGAACAACATGCTCATATGTTGATGCTAAAACATAAACATGCATTCATATGTTAATGATAACTCTGTAAACGTGTAGCTCACTCACATGTTGACGCTGATAGTTGAGTTGTTGACTGTGAAAGGGATTCTGTACTCCACATCTTTCTGGATCTCTGCTAAACTGTAGGAGAAGAAAACCGAAACATATAACGTTTGATACAAACCAGTTTGACACTATACCTTGAGAGGCGCTAAAACGTCAATCCAAAATTGATTTAGCTAGCTAGAATATTTAAAAAGACAGTGTCATACGTGTATACATTAGACATATTGTTCATATTAGCTACATAACGTTACAATTTTGTCGCCTATAAACTCAGGTTGAATATCTAGAAGAGAGCAGAGAGGCACCTCTCTCTACTTGTAAACAACACATAATACTTTAATCTGACCTAGTCCCATCACTGTCGGTGTTGCAATAGGGGACACTAACGTTAGCTAGCTAGCTAGCTAGTCATCGCACGATACACACTAGTTACACCTCGTGACAACGCTTTAAATAGTAGCAAATACTTTAGCTAGCTATCAAGGCTGACTAGCCACCGAGTTAGCCTTAACTAGCTAGTTAGCATTGCTAGGAAGTGATGTTGATTTACCTGGAGTGGGCAGCTTTGAGTGACTCGATCTGCCTTTGTCTTTGTTGCTGTAAGCTATTGAGAGGTGGGAGAGGTCCAGAACCCTTGGATAAGGGGAAAAGCCAGTTCATCCTCTTCTGGCTGGGCACGAGCTTGAACTTAATGACTAGCTAGCTAGCTAGCTAATTAATTAATAAGTTACTTTCCAGCCTCAACAGACAGGGGAATGAGAAAAAACCGTCGAGATTTAGCCAATGTTCGCTAGCCTCAGTACCTTCTAGCTACTTGCACAGCGATGGCTTTCGGTATGGCATATCTTAAATGGTCGGATAAAATAACTATTCAGTTTATCCGCTTGAAGCGTTTATCCAAAAGTAGCACTGTCATTCTTGTTAAGCTTTGTAGCTACCGAGCACACAAACGGGATAATAGGAAGACAACAACCCTCGTTGTATACGAGCATGATGAAGTTGTTTGCGTACTACCTCACTGTACACAAAAAACCAGGAAGGTAAATGTACAAATATTTTTTGGAAAAAAGAACTATACTGAGAAATATATTTGAAAAGGCGAAATTTTTCTGGCAAACTTAACATAATTGTAATATGTTTTTTGTTTTTTTTTACATTCTACGCATCAGGAGTTGAGAGGTCAATGCGCATACTTCAATGACGTCACCGTTTTTTGACAGTTTGTACCACATAATACCTGTTTCTACTGTCACTACCAAGAACATCGATTGGGCAATAGGGGAAACCCTACTCCAGAACATTTAAGAACTGCACCTCTAATTAAGTTGACATTACTTGATCATGACGTACATTGAATGTTTTCACTCTTATATAATGATAAAGTAAATAGCATTATAACAGCCGACACGGAAGCATTATTATCCAACCTATTATTGACATTATATATAACCCACACATACCAGTTGTGATCAGTAATCTCATTTTTTTTACAGCACAAAATATGTCTAACCACTCTGATCATATTCCCTCCCTCAATGCTCCACAAGGAAACAAAGAACGGTCATCAATGGCAGAGAGCGGATGAACTGAATCATTACTCAAAGCCCGCTTCGCGCTCAGAAGGGAATATCGCATCTCATCATCGTGGGTAGCGAGACCAAACACTTTAGAAACACATTTCTCAAGTCAAGAACTATAGAAATGATCCCTGAAAGTATAGTCTTAATTTCTAAATTGGTGAGCAAGGGTAGCCCATGTTGGCGCTGTCATTCTCACTAACGGTTTCCCACAGTATAAAGCGCACACTATATGACCACGTGGCCAAAAGCATGCTTATTGGGCTACTTTTCATCAATAGGTAACATATGGAATCAGTTATTGTCATGTTTTATGCCCAAGAAAGCTTCACAAAATACATTTTCAAGTTGCTCCACAATAGAACTTTGCATATGAGGGAGGTGCCAGAAGGTACTCATGCAGTCTTTAGGGGACTGGCATTGGCTGAAAAGGTCAGTGTCCCACAATAGACAAAATACAATTTAGATTTAAAATGTAATTGAAAAATGTGAGTTCTGACTGGATGGAAATGATGACATATTTCCTATTCAACGTCATTGCAAGGCTGACAATGGGAATATTTAACAGCATTGAAGTCAACTACGTTACGTTGATGAACTAGTCATCACAAACTAGCTTACATAAACAAAGTATTCTAATATTGAACAATGTTAAGAACTAACCACTCTGATCATATTCCCTCCCTCAATGCTCCACAAGGAAGCAAAGAACGGTCATCAATGGCAGAGAGCGGATGAACTGAATCATTACTCAAAACCCGCTTCGCGCTCAGAAGGGAATATCGCATCTCATCATCGTGGGTAGCGAGACCAAACACTTTAGAAACACATTTCTCAAGTCAAGAACTATAGAAATGATCCCTGAAAGTATAGTCTTAATTTCTAAATGGGCGAGCAAGGGTAGCCAATGGTGGCGCTGTCATTCTCACTTACGGTTTCCCACGGTACAAAGAGCACACTATAGGACCACGTGGCCAAAAACATGTTTATTGGGCTACTTTTCATCAATCAATAGGTAACATATGGAATCAGTTATTGTCGTATGTTTTATTGGATCACACAACAAGCACTTGTTATGCCAAAGAAAGCTTCACAAAATACATTTTAAAGTTGCCCCACAATATAACTTCGCAAATGAGGGAGGTGCCAGAGGGTAATAGTGCAGTTTTTAGGGGACTCCCATTGGCTGAAAACGCAAGTGGCCCACAATAGAGAAAATACAATTTAGATATCAAATGTAATTGAAAAATTGGAGTTCTGACTGGATTGGCATGATGAATGGAGATTGCTTTGCAGTAGATTTCCTATGCAACACTACTTCTGACATTTAACGGCAATGAAGCCAGCTGAACTATTTCCATGAATTAATGACTGACATCCAGATGTGTTGTAATGGTAAAAATCTAATGATTTGTTTAATATTGAACAAAAGTAAATCTAACCACTCTGATCATATTCCCTCCCTCAATGCTCCACAAGGAAGCAAAGAACGTTCATCAATGGCAGAGAGCGGATGAACTGAATCATTACTCAAAGCCCGCTTCGCGCTCAGAAGGGAATATCGCATCTCATCATCGTGGGTAGCGAGACCAAACACTTTAGAAACACATTTCTCAAGTCAAGAACTATAGAAATGATCCCTGAAAGTATAGTCTTAATTTCTCAACGGGCGAGCGAAGGGTAGGGCATGTTGGAGCAATCATTCTGACTGACGGTTTCAAATCTGCCTCACTCACTGTCACTACCTACAGGCGCTTTTCAATGTATGAATGAAGTGCACGAAGCAACAAGCCATACCTTACTATATACTTCTTTTTTTTAAATCAGGTATCATTTTGTATTGAATGGAAAGTAACAGTTCATAATCATATAATATAATTTACTGGCTCACAAAAAAGCACATATGTCCCAGATTCACAGAATACATTTTCTAGTTGCCAAAAATGTAATAATGGGAGGTACCTAGCAGAGGCTGTTCAGTTTTGGGCGACTACTACCATTGGCTGAAAAACCCAGTGGTATACGTTACAGAATATATGTATTATTTTATACTGAACAAAAATATAAACGCAACAATTCCAGCAACTTTACTGAGTGACAGTTCATATAAGGAAATCGTTCAATTGAAATAAATTCATATAGGCCCTAATCTATTGATTTCACGACTGGGCAGGGGCGTAGCCATGGGTGGGCCTGGGCCCACCCACTGGGGAGCCAGGCCCTGCCAATCAGAATGAGTTTTTCCGCACAAAAGGCTTTATTATAGACAGAAATACTCCTCAGTTTCATCAGCTGTCCCGGTGGCTGGTTTTAGACGATCCCACAGGTGAAGAAGCCAGATGTGGAGGTCCTGGGCTGGCGTGGTTACATGTGGTCTGTGGTTGTGAGGCCAGTTGGGCGTACTGCCATTGGAGGTGGCTTATGGTAGAGAAATTAACATTCAATTCTCTGACAAGAGCTCTGGTGGACATTCCTGCATTCAGCATGCCAATTGCATGTTCCCTAAAAAACTGAGACATCTGTGGAATTGTGTTGTGTGACAAAACTGCACATTTTAGAGTGGCCTTTTATTGTTCCCAGCACAAGGTATAATGATCATGCTGTTTAATCAGCTTCTTGATATGCCACACCTGTCAGGTGAATGGACTAGCTTAGCAAATGAGAAATGCTCACTAATAGGGATGTAAACATATTTGTGCACAACATTTCAGAGAAATAACATTTTTGTGCATATGGAACATTTCTGGGATCTTTAATTTCAGCTCATGAAACATGGGACCAACACATCACATGTTGCTTTATATTTTTGTTCAGTACAGTTGTACTGCAGCTGAAAAGTTGGCATAGTTGACATCATTGCTATGATGAATGGAAATAGATGGGCTATATTTTTCCAGCGCAAAATCAAAGCTGAATAACAGCGCTGAAGTGACGTTACTAAACCATTGCATCACTAGCATAATGCTATGAAATGTTTGTTTAATTTTCTCCTTAACAGTCTTATGAGCTCTCCACTCTGATCATATTCCCTTCCTCAATACTCCACAATGAAGCAAAGAACGGTCATCAATGGCAGAGAGCGGATGAACTGAATCATTACTCAAAGCCCGCTTCGCGCTCAGAAGGGAATATCGCAGCTTATCATCGTGGGTAGCAAGACCAGACACTTTAGAGACACATTTCTCAAGTCAAGAACTATAGAAATGATCCCTGAAAGTATAGTCTTAATTGAATAGAGGGCGAGCGAAGGTAGCCTATGTCGGAGCTGTCATTCTCACTAACGGTTTCCCATGGTATAAAGAGCACACTATAGGACCACGTGGCCTAAATCATGCTTATTGGGCTACTTTTCATCAATAGGTAACATATGGAATCAGTAATTATTGTATGTTTTATTGGATCACACAACAAGCACTTGTTATGCCCAAGAAAGCTTCACAAAATACATTTTCAAGTTGCCCCATAAAATAACTTCACAAATGAAGGCGGTGCCAGAGGGTAATAGTGCAGTTTTTAGAGGACTGCCATTGGCTGAAAACGCAAGTGGCCCACAATAGAGAAAATTCAATTTAGATATAAAATGTCATTGAAAAATTTGAGTTCTGACTGGATTGGCATGATGAATGGAGATTGCTTTGCAGTACATTTCCTATGCAACACTACTTCTGACATTTAACGGCATTGAAGCCAGCTGAACTATTTCCACGAATTAATGACTGACATCCAGATGTGTTGTAATAGTAGGAATCTAATGATTTGTTTAATATTGAACAATAGTAAGTCTAACCACTCCGATCATATTCCCTCCCTCAATACTCCACAAGGAAGCAAAGAACGTTCATCAATGGCAGAGAGCGGATGAACTGAATCATTACTCAAAGCCCGCTTCGCGCTCAGAAGGGAATATCGCAGCTCATCATCGTGGGTAGCGAGACCAAACACTTTAGAAACACATTTCTCAAGTCAAGAACTATAGAAATGATCCCTGAAAGTATAGTCTTAATTGAATAGAGGGCGAGCGAAGGTAGCAAATTTCAGAGCTGTCATTCTCAATAAAGGTTTCCCACAGTATAAAGAGCACACTATAGGACCACGTGGCCAAAATCATGCTTATTGGGCTACTTTTCATCAATAGGTAACATATGGAATCAATTATTGTCGTGTTTTATGCCCAAGAAAGCTTCACAAAATACATTTTCAAGTTGCTCCACAATATAAATAAATATGAATTCCATGCTGTCACAGTCACTAGCCCATTTAAGCTTAATATCCTTGTCATCTATCGCCCTCCAGGTTCCCTTGGAGAGTTCATCAATGAGCTTGACGCCTTGATAAGTTCCTTTCCTGAGGATGGCTCACCCCTCACAGTTTTGGGGGATTTCAACCTCCCTACGTCTACATTTGACTCATTTCTCTCTGCCTCCTTCTTTCCACTCCTCTCCTCTTT